AATTTCGCAACTCTAAGATAATACCAGATGAGTAATTTTATACGACGTTACAAAGAACGCATACATACTTACATTGTTAATAAGTATCATAAATATGTGAACTGAACTGTGACGTGTTAAGTAAGTTATATGGTGTAGTTATTTTTCAACGTCAATGTTGCAGACACAGAGTGTGCGTCGCGTGACCAACTACAATGGCAGTTTTATAAGGGCTAAATTTACTAAACGCTGTTGATAAACATCTGACCTTAAGAAATAATCCACTATCGGATTATTTTTAAATCTTTGAAATATTGCCCGGCACAACGGGCCGATGAAAAATGTCACAGTTCGTAATGCGAATTTAATGAGGGTAAGCGAGCTCGGCTTAACCCGGCCTACGCTACAATCTGGAATGTGAACATCCTTGCAGACTCCATAAATCACTTTATTACACACTAGCGAACCGATCATACTCCGATTGGGCACAATCGTACCTACCGCAATATACTTTTTGTATGTAACCTTTGTCTTTAATTGGGTATAACAAAATTCTGTAGTATTTGTAACTAACGTAGATGCAATTGGCTGCTTACATATAATTCTTTGTATAACTCGGTACAACGGGGTTGGGTAATGCTACTATGCATTAATTAACTCATATTGTACCAACCTATAATAATATTGTATATTATATGACTGCAAAATATGGCAATATTATGTAAACTTTAACTGTACTAGTTTTTCATATTGCATCTTGTCAAAGGCCTTGTCAAAATCGACATTTTGATGCAAGGCGACAAGCGCTTAATATTGCCAAAGGTGCATATAAAAAAATGCATAGTTGTTCTTTGTGTGAGATATTGGATATTTTTTCAAAATGGGTTCGTAAAAGCATAGAATGAATATTTTAGTTCCAAAATACCTATTATTAGATGCAGTTAATTGTTCTATGATCTTAATTCGATCATTATCATTTTGCCATGATGGGCAAATTACAAAATAATACATATGTGGTCATAATATGTAAATCAATTTCAAAATATTATCATGTTAAAACATTAAGAGTAATAGTATTTGCTAGTGAACTTTACTAAACAGCGAACACGATGCGTTGAAAACTCACCAATAATTATATAATTATTATTAACTAATTGGATTTAATTTATCAACTTTCTTTTTAAGTCTCGATAAGGGTAATGAATATGTGACAAAATGATTACAGTTCAGTTGATACAAATAAATAAATTACAACAGAATACGTAATTCGAGTATAATAATGAAATGGAAATAAAAATAAAAATAAAAATGTCCAATACTAACATAGGGTAATGACAAGATTGAAATACAAAAATTTTGAAAAATTCCACTATGTTTTTCGAGGAATAGTGTAATTGTTCTCTTCCAGTGAATATATAATTATCATGACTGATGTAGTGGTTGTCGGAGGGACAACCACTATAATAGTTGTTTGGATTTCCGCATCAATGTTAAGATGAATATTTTTACATGGACAATAAATATCAAATTTTTAAGTAGATACAAATCATTGAAGAATGAATCTATCATCGTCATCAGTTGAATCTTTTTTCTGTAGTTAAGTTATAAAATAAGAGACCTATTATTAATAAGCAATCGCCATAGAGGGCGTAGAGTATAGACTGGGCTCTTCGAATTAATCGTGTTGCAAGTTGCTCGCCGCGCGCCGCTCGCTCGCGTGGGTGCCATTACATTTACACCATAAATTTGAATGTTGCTATTTATAGTTGAGGTACGTTATCGTGAAAGGGAAACGTCAGACAAGCACACGTGGGCGCGATCAGGCCGTTTGATCCAATTAGAATTGGAAGAATAAATGCAAAGGAAGCAGAAACAATAAAATAAATCTTCTGTATTACAATTAAATAGGGTAGATATTAAAGGTATTTGAAACTAACTTCGATTAGCCCACAATAATAAGATAATAACAACATTATTATCATTATCTTATCTTTATACAGTATTATAAGATCGAGTTGATACTGTAAATAATCTTATAATGTTCAAGTATTAATTAACAGTGTACAATTTAGTGAAGATTGAAAATATTAGTGCATGACGATGAGTTGTATAGAATACAATTCCACAAAATACTTGAATTAATTCATTCACTAAGATATGGTTACTTACTAGACTGAATTCCATTAACATAAGATAGCTGTGTAGCGTGATTTTGCGCAGCGAAATGATGAATAGTGAACGGTGGAGGCCGCATGCGCGTTCGACGCATGAATGGAGCGCAGTTCATTGAGTCCGTAATGCTAGATTTCACCGTTCATAATGCAGTGAGCAGTTCGCGACGACGACAACGCAATGCCTGCCTGCCGAACTTACGCTGATGTAAGCCTACCTCTCACGAATCCGTATGATGAATGAGGTTTATTAAACAAACATTTTTTTACGCACTAACAACAGTGCGTCAATGGCGCGGTAAGAATATGTTCCTTGAGAAAAGTTGTTCACGTTAATTACCCTATCCATTGCCGATGGTTACAAAACAGAGTCGTAGACGAAGTAATAATTAAACAATATCTCTTTAGAAGTAATGAAACATTCAACATTTAGTCTTCATAACATTACTCACATATTATATTTCTACATTTATCTGTTATTACCAATTTTGGCGGTGGTGTGTGAAACTTTGTAATTAACACTGTCGTGTTAAATCCATTGGTACCAACCAGCTGAACAAATGCTCCACGCGTATGAATGGAAATTTTGACATTGATTCATTGGAATAGAATGCTCTATGAATGCTTGTATACTATCCACACTTGTAGAATTCTATCAATAACACAATAATGTATACAGTGTAGTATATATCGATAAGTAATTACTTACGAGGATATTAATACTATAAAACATCATCATACAAGCAATTTGAATAATAATATGATGTTTACGTACAAATTATAATTATGGTTTCTTTTTTCAATGGATGATTGAAGAGTATAGACGTTACCAGGTAACAAGGGGAATTGAAAAATGATAATAAATAAGGTAAATAATGAAAATGGGGACACAAACAATAATATATATGTGTATGGGGATATATCATGGCAAATTGTCTGTTTAATATTACTCGGTATTTGTATTCGTAGTCTTTTTTTCAAGTAACTGCTTTTAATATAATTTTAGTGATTTTCGTTTATTTACATATACTGCTGGTATAATTATCTCAGTCCTCAGAATACCCGATTACGTATTATGTAGTTTAATGTATTTTTTTATGTAAAAAAATTTCATCCGATTTTACGTAACATATAGGTTGTCTCCTATTGGGGTAAACATTTTAATTTTATATTAATTTCGTCTAAGTTTGTGCACGCATTCTGTATATGTTAATAATTAGATTAGATTTTGCAAGTTAGATTTACATTATGCAACTGGTATTAGCGTTAAGAGTATACTAGTCATACCACCGCCGCACTAATAGGACGCGACCATGGGCAGCCATTCTCACTATTCTAATTGTGCAAAGTGCAACATATTTAGTATTAGCTGTTTTTAAATAAAACAAATAATTCTGTTTTATTTAAATTTAATTTTCGAATATTGTGTTATGCTTCTTGAGCTTAAGCTTATAATATTAAAAGCTTAATTATTATTAATGAAAGAACAGAAGTCGTTGGCATTCATTTTGCGCTAATTGCTTTATAAGGAACATATCATGAAGATGTTATTAAGTAGACTAATATATCTTCTTTACAAGAACTCCGAATTTGACAAGTGTAGTTGATAGGTATTAGTAATAGTCACGGATGCAATAGTCACAAGCCACATTATCTGTATTACTGCATCTCTCAATTATGCTTTTATGAGTAACGCATTACGTGCATATCCGTCATAATTCATCCACTAGTCAATCCACCACCGTTATTACCAAGAATTTGCTTTATGTACTGACTCACGCGTCGACAGACGTTCTGCTTAACTAATAGTTAAGAATCATTTGTATTCGCGTACATCGACATGTTCAGTACTTATAGAATTTTTAATTGTCATAATTGCTCGATGTGCATTGATAGCCCGAAGGTTTTCTCCTAGAAATGAAAACCTGTTATTTTTATGCTATGGGAACGCAGCTAACTAACCAGTTTTTGTATTTAGTCGATTACGATGCAATGACTCGACTTCATGGGCAGTTCGATTAATTACGGTTGCTCGTTTACAACCTAATTTCCTTCCACATCCGTCCCGCCGCAAGTCAGCTGCGGGCCCCGCTGCATGACATTCGCAGCGCTGTACCGTAACGTAACAGAATTACCGGCAATTATTGTGAACGTATACAAATCTCATTCCCATAAGTTCTCCGCGAACACGAATAAATGAATGCTCATCAAGAACCCGAGAAAGCCGGTATCGGTATCCAGTCGTGCCGGAGCCGGGTGTTCGACCGGCTACTTTTTCCGCTGTCACGAGGTGATTAAAGAAAACGTCTCACGCGCATGAAATCAGCTTCCCACGCATGCGCAAGTTTCCTCGTTTGCGTCCGCGCACTGTGTAAGACGGGCGTGTCTGGTTATTTCCTTTATGTTTACGTGGAACAATTACTTGTAAACAATGGCATCTAGTCTAATTAGCACGATTTATCATTTTCATGATAATGGCTAATACAATGACTTACGTTATTGTATCGGTTTGACCTTTGTAAGTACATATTGTAAACATGCATGTTTATTACAAAAAGGTTAATATATATCTTAGTAAATGGTCTATTTAGACCGATATTACTTACTGATACAACTCGCACGGTAATTATAACAAGTTATTAGTATTTTTATAATTAACGGTATAAATACGAATACGAGATGAACCGATATAGCGACTTTAGTTGAAAACGAACTATGACATCATTGGTTCGAATCAGTAAGCAGTGATAGACAAAAATAAACGTACAAGTGATAGTAGCTCGTCCATCACGAGATAAGGTAAAGTTGGATTGGTTTAATTATGTACTCTATGCATATGTGAATACTGACCGTAACCCCATGAGTGGCAGATGAGGAACGTGCTGCGCGCCAGCCTCACTACACCACTCTGGATATGAACGGTGGAACTCCGCAAATTCGCCTGTGGACAATATATGAACATAATTCAATTATGCTGCTATATTTATTTATTTATTTGAATCAATCAACTACAGGTTTATTGGATATATATAATATAAAATTAATATAAAATTTAATGGGGAAGCTTCTTTAATCGCCCCTCTTGTACCGTCAGTAAAGAACATCCTCGGACCATATATAAAATTTTTAGAAATAACATATCTGCAGTTTTCCGATAACCTGGAGTTTAAAGGAGGTAAACGTTCACCTCCGGAATCAAAGCAAGCAACAACTCATTTATTTAAAGCAAAAACTATTACTGTTACATTTTACTGTTCTATTCATATTGTTAATTATACCGAATGATGAAGTGATCGTGTTCAAAGCTGCATTAGTGCAATAGTGCACCGAGCAATGATGAATGTGTGGAAATTCGCTAAATGACAAATTGATTACTGTAATCGGTGTGCTGGATGAGTGATGAGCTGCAGGAATATTACTTTCATATTATGCGTCATCCTGCTCAAATGGATTATCTAATAGATATTTATAACAGTTTAATCACAGTTTAGATATTCTTGTGTTATGGCGAGATGAAATACAATGTGTAAACGTAAGTATAACAGTATAACGTCTATAAAATAGATGAGGTTTTTTATTAATTAGGAATACTACTATAAGAGAGGCACCTTGAGATATTTTATGAGATGTGGTGTGTTGTAGAATAACTTATGTGAGTATTACACGAAAAATTAAAAAAGAAAATTAAATATATTTTAGCCACATATGTTGATAGTTTTCCTTCATTTGAATAAAGAATTTCACTTGGCTATTTTAATTCTGTTAATTTTTATACTATGTATTCCATCATATCAACCCCTACCCGTCCACTGCCAAACATAAGCCTTCCCCTTACGGGGTTTTGCCAATAGTTTGGCAAGCGGATTGGCAACAGCAGTCAGGTTTTAGATTTAGATTAGATGTTTTAAGAGGGACGCTGCTGCCTATCCCTCGCCTTCGCTTAGTCGACTTTTACAACACCTATGGAAAAGGAAGGGGTGGCCTATTCTATGCCGAGACCACACGGCCATACTATGTATTTACAATAGTATTTTTTTTTCTTTAAGCGTATGGGAACAGTATTTTTAACAGTGAATAAATAAAAATTGGTAAAAACAATAAGTTCTGAGAAGAAATTGGAAACACTTTTTTTGTGATCGATGACGATGTGATGATACAGTTGGCAGACGTACATTTTTTGATTAACAAAAGCTTTCGATCCAAATCCATATTTCTTAGTTTCAATACTATACCCCATTAGAAACTTCAAATAATTTATGCATAAAAGTATGAAAAAAGAAAGAAATCCACAACAATCTCTGTTCTTAATAAGTGTGTATGTGTGTACAAAAATCTTATTTAAACAAGTATGCACTCGACTGATTATTGTGAGCATAGTTTATAACTATCTATATATTTTAATTTATATTATTTAAATAAAGATTACATGCGATTATGAATTTTAATATTTGATTTGACTTTATAAATAATTGATGTTTCCTAGAGTTAACACCATAAAAAAACTATCCCAGTGTGAAGATACATTGGGTACCTGCATCGTTTTGATTCAATTATTAAAGCGGTCAAGGACTGCTATAAACATAATAACAATTTCATAAAACCGGTAACCGGAAATTACGTCAAATATTAATTTTACAGAAAAACGGTTTTGAAATTTGAAAGGCTTGCAATTAGTTACGTTCACACGATCGCAGACTAAAATTATTTGTTACTGCAAGTTGTGTTGTAACGCCTGACGGCGAGTTCTATTTGAGTGTACTGTACATAATATACTTTCAAGTTTATTTCATTCATTCATTGTCTTTGTTTCATTGAGTGGTCTCCATTCACGATATGGTTGCGGCATATCGTTCGAGTAGATTTATGCGACTCGTGATCATGTAAATCTAGTGCTACAGAAATTATACTTACGTAGTCGTGACGAATTTGCGTTGGTAACTAAGTATTAGATATTCTGCGTTGGTTTTCCACGACACGGTTTACGTTTCCCGTTGGCTTTAATACTAATTCAAGCGTGCAGAAACGCGGGAAACGGCTAGTCTTAATCTTAATATTTAAAAATCCCGTATTACGATGTTCGTTCATGCTAATCTCCGAAATCACGCAACTGATTTTAATGAAATTTTGTGAATATGTATTGTTTGCTCCGACTTGAGATAAAGAAGAAAAATATGAAACCGATAGGTAGCGGTAGAGGACAAAACATCATTTGCTGCGTCAGCTAGTAACCTTAATAAAAATAATTAAGAAAATTTGCGATGACACGTTCACGCACGCGTGCTACTACTGATGCGACGAGGACGCACATTTCCGTTGGCCAGGGTCAGCCGTTTCCTGCCCAACGCCAGTATTGTGATGCTAATGTCGGTGTCACCCAGATACGTCGATGCGAAACTTCCTTTCGTCCAAATTTCTCAAGGTATGTTGCAGAAATCATTCCAGGGATCTCAGAATGAAGATCATATGTATTTCAAGAAACAAACTAATTATAGTACCCATATACAATGTATAAGCGTTTAAAAGTATAATATAGTACTGATATCTAATCTTGTGATATCAAATTTTGCACGCAGATGAAACAAGAGATGTTTGTAAGGCCTTTGAAATTCTGTTCTCTGTCTTCAAAAGTGTGTGATATAAACGAATAAAGAGTAGCTAAGAAAATTGGTAAAGATTACGTATATTGCATAACATATATAAAACATAGAGCCAATCTGAGAACCCCAAACCTTTTAAATATGCTTATATAAATACATAATTCAATAATGTGCCTATTTATGGTACAAGTAGATACACAAACTACATGTAAATAAATAAATAAATAATTTTAATAATGCGCTTCACGTCAATACATTAGGGAATTTCAGGAACTTTCATTCATATAATTTATTGGGCTAAAAATACAAGTTATTGCGCAGATTACATGCCTACTAGACCTTCTGCCCACGATATAGACAATTAAAGAACCGAGACTCACCTACGCTTATCAGTATAAATTATAATGGGCAATACAAAATTGCTCTTATTTTTGTTTTAACTATTTTTAGAAATAGAAGAATGTTGGTTGTTTATTCTTCAAGTAAAATACAAACGTTTATTAAACGGATTTATTTTGTTATATAAATACTTTGTTATTACAGTTTATTAAATGCTTATAAGATGGTCCAAATACATCTGCAAGTAGCACCAATAATAGAACAGTTGCGAACTAATCGTTATCTTGTTATAGGCGCGATATGAAAAGGAAGTCATGTTCTAAAAAAAAAACAGGCCAAGAACATCTCGGGGAGGCGCGAATAGGGTTCCGTAAATAATTATATTTGTCTGATTCACAAACATATTAAATAGAATAAACCAATAAGTTTAAGCCAGTTTATAGGCGCAGCTTGGTATGAGTAACTTCACTCTATCCCCAGCTTTTTAGAATAGATAGTGAACACAAATATGTTTTAGATATAGACAATGGGGAATCAAATGAAGCGCCCAGTGAATTAGAAAAATTATTTGATACTAAAAATGCTGGTTAGAATAAAGTTAAAAACGTAATAAGTTTAAAGTTCTAAAAAAATATTGCAATACTCAAGCGCTTACATAATTTAGATTATAAACATCTATAAAAGCTTTAATCTTGATTGAATTTAAAACAGATATCTACTGAAAAAATAAACAATAGAAGGCAAACTTTTAGGACAGAGACTTAAATAAAAAATTGATGTAAACATAAAATCATTTGACAGTTAAATATAGTGTGTTAGTAAAGTATTATCATATCAGCCGTTAAATGTGCATTGCTGAACATGGGCCATCCTCATGAAGGGAGTTTTGCCAGTAGTTGCCACGCTTGGTAGGCGGGTAGACAAACGAATTTAGCCTTCGGTGATTATTTAAGAGGGACGCCGCAACCCAACTCTCGTGAAAGGAAAGGAAGGCCCATTCTATGCCGGGGTCACACGGCAGTGTTAATAATAGGAGGCTGTAATTTTTTTAAAGTAGGAGATAAATCATTGGTATTTTTAAAAGGATATCAATGATTTCAATTTCAATTGTTATTAGATTAGAATTATTTTGTTTAATTCCATTACTATTATGTGTCCATTATTAGTATGTGTGACTGCAAACACTCGATGATAATAATGGTAGCGGAATTAAACAAAATAATTATAATCAACCAATATATATATATATTATATTATAATAACCAATTATATGGACTTCCGCAAGATAACACGTAGTTCGGTAAAAGATTTCGATTTCATCCTGATCAACTTTTAATAGAACATGTTCAATACATTGTTTTTTTTGTTACAAATTTTATCCGGTAATTGGTACTACGATGACATTATCACAGGAATAGAGTATAGAATGACACTACTTACAACTCTATGACTGTGATAAGTTGGAGGGTATTTCTAGCGGATATAGTATGGAAGGAATTACATATTTGTTCGGCGCTTTTCGAACGATCTGCGTACGATTCTTGCATGAATCAATGCTAATTATAGATTTAGATTGTGATGATTATCGTATGTAGTGAATCATATAAAATAGTCGGATAAACTGTCTTGTCTAGTGCATGTAAGTTTGCCATGGTTAGAACATGAGAAGGAAAACTGGAAATGTAATTCTATCCTAGGTACCTCAGTCCCATACATGTTTCTGTCTCTGAGCAGATAAGCCCCCATGGCTGTGATTCTTTTAAACGGGGACTTATGGCAGTGAATACACAAGGTACGAACTACGAAGGCCTTAGTTCTCAGGAAAGGAAAAGTATGAGTAGTATCATACTGTGAGTATCACAGTGTACATTGTATTCTATGACATCCTTGGTAATGTTCATGTATACAGCCGTTAGTTAAAATAGTTTTAAAAAAATATTGAGGAATATATATTCTACGAATATTTGAAACTGTATAATTAAGTTACCAAACAAAGTAGATATTAGTCAATATTTCCATGTTTAGTACACCTACAAAATGAGCCCCAGCAGCAGTTTCCGAGGTATCGGCGGCAGGTCGGCAGGTCGGCAACACGCAGTCGCGCGGCTCGCGCGCGGGGGCGGCGAGTGGCGCGCGGGTCGGCGGCGGCACCGCATCGATCGGTGACTCATCGCGGCCCATTCATCCGCCGCACTCAATGAACCCGCCGTACCCTCACTCGCCCCGCGGTCGCCTTCACCCCCTCCCGCCCCGGCATGTCCTCACTGGCAAGGACTCCATAAAATTCGCCCCACACCGAGTAAAGCAAAACCTTCAGCACATTACACCCACATAATGCAAACGTGCTCTTTACCAGTTTCGGGCTACCGGCCACCCACCGGCGACCGTGCATTGAAGGACATTATTCTGATATAATAATAAAATATACACTCCATAAATATCATTTAGGCATGGCGCCTGAGCAAAACAGCGTGACGACGTTGAGTTTAAACAATACCAAATGGAAAAGATCGGACGGACCGGTCTTCAAGGTCGCTAGTGATGAATTAAAGGAAACGACGCATAAATGAATAAGAAATCGTTTAAATGCAAAGGATGGAAGGATGGAATGACGTATAGCAACAGAGGAATCTCGAGCCATGACAGTGGCGATACGAGGTTAGCGAGGTACGAGAAGGGGGTCAATAGAGTGTAGGTGCAAATGGGGAGGCCTTGGCCCGTCCCGTGTCCTTCCATCCCGCAACGTATATCAACAACCTTGTACAGTTTTAATTATTTGTGTCATTTATAGCCTCGTGATATCTGATCACAGGCTTTAAATCAGATTAAAATAAAAAATTATAAAATGCCTGCATTTTACAAGATTTACAACGAAGATATGTGTCCTCTGCAGACAAATGTATTTTTTTTTATGGGTGAAAATGGTATGGTAACCCCGCCTGCGCTAACGGGATACGCTGGCGGAGCACCAGTAAAGGGTGATAGATGAGAATGAAAACAGGCCAGTTAGCCCATCATGATGAATTCATCAGGAATTAACCATGATAGTTTCCAGGGAGAACCGCGAGGAGGTCGACTTGGTTAGGTATATTAGCAATGAGATTCTCAGTCTCCATTACTAACAATCCCTTTCCCCCCAGACAAATGTATCTACAACACCATACTTACATTACCATACCAACATGTCACTCACAGACAGACATGGAACAGAGGATTTCTAGAACAGTAATTTAATATATCTATTTCTATACAGGGTGAAATAGAGATCGTTGTCATCTTTCGAAAGGAGTGTTCAACCAACAAAACTGAACATTGTCAAAAAAACAATTTCATTTTGTATATTAATACTATAATTGGGATAGGGTAGGAATATGCTGAAGATATTAATACTAGATGTGTGGTCCCGGCATAGAATGGGCCACCTCTTCCATTCCCATGGATGTCGTAAGAGGCTACTAAGGAAACTTATAAAGGTCGAGAGATGGGCGGCAACGTCCCTTTTAAAATATCATTAAAACCTAACTGCGATTGTTAACCCGCCTGCCAAAGCGTAGGAACCACATGCAACTCCCCCAGCCCCTTCCAAGGGAAAGGCCTATGTTCAGTAGTGATTAGTTAATAGCTGATATGATGATGGCGATGATTAATACTAGCTGTATCTCACGGCTTCGGTCGCGTGAATCAGTATAATAAGTTATTTTAAACCCGTTTGCTAGTTTTTGCGCGAAAGAGTAATAAACATCCATCCATCCATTCTAATAAACAATTCGCGTTTACAATAGTAGTAAGATTCCATGACGTTTAATCCAGTAACACGGTCTATTGGCGTGCCATCAATTGAATGATATAAAGAATTCATAAACTTCTACGTTTATGGGTATTATGACACAGTAAGATACCTATTCCAAATTAAAAATAACAAGAGGAATTTTTTCGTTACACAACTTTAGACCAGTTTCGCTCGAGTTCAGATAGGTAAAATATATTATTGAGGAAGCGAAAGCTATATAGAATGCACCCGTCAATATACGTACTTATGTTTTAAATAGAGTTTAATCAAGTCTATTGGGACAATTTGAACCAATTTACCGAGCATGGCTGACGACATATTTATGATCGCGCATAAGCATCTCGATTGACTTCATTCATTACATTAGATACCTACATTGGAGGCTTAATTTACTTACTTAGAATTACGTACACCGGTAATCTTATCACTCCTACATTATCAGTGATATTATATCTTTAATGACTACAATCTATACATATATGAATGCAACTCAAAACCCTTCCTTATTTTTCTTTATAGGGTAAGCTCGTGTTAAATAACAGAAATAATGATGTGATTAGTATAGGGTTTTTAAATATATCTATAAAGATATATTTTCCTTTGCAAAAAAACTGATTCTCCAATTGTGACAATTTTAACATGGGACTAACATGTGATGAACCCAATCGATTGCAAAAAGATTTAGCGAAATCAGTTAAGAATTGTTAAAGATATTGATCGAGCAACGTACAGGTGATTTCAGATTCTCCTATTTTTTTGGTCTTTTGAATAATCCGTTATGCTAAAAATTGATCACTTATTCATTTTAGCGTTTGAACATTCTAATCACTGGAACTACCAATCAGATATGAAAAATACTATTTGTGTTTAAAAGTTTATGACCATGAGCGAAGCCGTGGGATACAACTAGTAGTAAGATAATTTTGAATTTGTTATAATTATACTTGTGTACGTGTGTGTGTGGATATCATTATACAGGATTCGACGTATCGTAGCGAATGTTGGCCCGTCATACAATGATAGTATTCATAAATTTGGTTATTACCATTCCCGAAGGAACGTGGTCGGGATTTGAATTTAATACTTAAACCTTTCACTCAAAATCAATTATGGGACTGTGAATTGTGATCTTTCTCTTATAGAAGTCTCTTAAAGGTATTCAAGTGGTATTAGATAACTTAGTACGATAACACAAATCGTAATAGTCAATATAATTGTAACAATGTTCAGCAATATTCTGGAAATGTAGGGAATGACGTCAATGGATTTTAATTCGCTCTGTTTCTTAGAATTGGCGAGATGAAGTTTGAAATATTCAAGGCGTTATAACGAAAATAACCTTTGAAGATACTACCCACATGAAGTTATTTATGTATAAAGGATATTCGATTTCCATTTGCTATGACATTTAAATATTATACAACTTTTATAAATATATAAATAAACAATAGTTTGGAAATCATTCGTTAAAATTAAAAAAAAGTTCAATTGTTCCAAAATCAAAATATGTAGTAAGGTAAGTTATGTAATATTTTATAGTTATTTTGTTTTTGTCTGATAATATTGGAATAATGCAGACGTATTAATTAACGGAAGGCTCAATTTCAGATTCCAATAATGAGTCTGGCGCCGTCGGACAGTGATAATTGTTCAGATAACCATATCAGACGCACGGAAGCATCAATGTACTCCGCGAGCCAACTCCAATTCATTACGCTTAGATACTTATGCAGCAACATATAATTATTATCAAAACCACCATGAGTTTTGCTTTTGTAAATAGGTGACCTCTATGAGCCTCAACAGCGTAACTAAGCCTATTTTTTTTATTCGAGATCACCGTAGCGCAACGAGACATAAATAAAACCAGAATACAATGTGTAACGTACCACAAAGTGTAATCCACGGATTGGGCATTACATCAGCGCACAAAAACTGTCAATGCCAATGTTACGCCTCCGAATGGTATACACACTGTCTTTGCGCTCCATTCAACATTTTACGATTTCACACTTATCAATGCTATGTAGAGTCAACAGCACTTAGTAGCCGTAGTATAAATTTTCGATTTATCGCTTTTCTGGCGATACAAAAGAATGATATTTATCTCCAATATCTCACATTACCATGGGTTTACGTAAAAAACTTTATAGCTGCGTAAGTCACAAGGACATAACATAAATAATCCATGTGCAAAAAAATTTAATTTTAAAGCCAGTACTTTTGGTTTGTTTTGATATGACTATCAGTAGATACTATAACAAATTAACTACTCATTAATGATGCACTGTTAATAATGTCTCTCCCAGGCCAGGCGGGTTGGTATAAAGTTCTTTGTACTTCGAGTTTTCTTTCACTTGCACTGGTGTACTCAACTTTGTCCTCTTAGTCTTTTAAATAATTTGAGCAGATGTAAAGAAATGGTGACATATTATATTGTAACTCTGTTACCATAAAGAGGTACATAAAAGGTGATCTAATTTTACAAGATCGCACTTCCTTTCCCCGTTTCGTTTTCCTCTATGAGCCGTATTATATTATCGTAGCCGGCTACTCTGGCCAGATGCACACGATTTCCTCCGCCATTATAAATGCTAAACCCAAAGAGTTTACATTCAGCGCGGAGCAAGACAACATCCTGTTATTCGCACACACGTGCCATTTATTTTATGATCGAATAAATAATAGGCATTCCTCACTTTATTGATAATCGATTATTAAAACGCTCTATAACTTAATTATAATCAATCGATCAATCTTATCAATTACCCTATTGTAACGTATGAGATTTTCTACATAAGACGAGGATACTAATGTATTATTTCACGCTGGTTATGGAGTTGAACACATGAAGCATTTTATGAATAATTTCGTATAACCTGCTGAATTTAAAGACATCTTCTCGTTAAGGGCGTAATATATCTGGTAATGTGAATCAACTAGTTGTTTTAATGGCAGGACACACGAAATGTATAGTATAATGATTTATGTAACGTGTTTTTTTCAATCTACCATGTTTTTATGAAGTGTTCTTCTTTTGTACAAAAGTCGATTACTTGGGTACCTCTGTCCCATTCGTGCTTCTACCGTGAAGCAGTTGTGTTTGCATGGCTGTGTTTCGGTTTGAAGGGTGGGATATGGCGTGAATTTACTGGGTACAGAGAAATAACACCTGAGTCCTCAGGAATGGCAACGCATGGGGGGGCAATGGGTATCATGGGCGAAACAGTATACTCTGTTATGTCCATGGTACTGCTCATATCCATCAGGTGGGCCGTCAGCTTGTTTGCCATTTTAAGTCGTATAAAAAAAAATAGCCTGCTCTGTTCCTCTAGTCGTTTCTTACGACATTTTGGGGACGACAAGAAGTAGTAACACATTCCATTCTTACTCTAATACTGGATAATTTCATTATTAAATTCATTATTTTACGTAATAACATTAATATCTGCATCAGTTAACGTCCTGTACAAAACACTGTATCATTCTTCAACCTCTTATATTTCTGTATTATTATTGCACATGTAAGTACTGCTGATGTTAATGGCAAAGCGGTTGGTGGCAAACGTCATAATGAAATACATGTACCGTTACATATATATTTATATATATACAGATACCATACCTAGCAAGTATGTATTTATGTGGAGTGTGAAGTAGATGAAGTGGGCAGGACGTTAGTGAAACAGGAACTTATTAATAAAATTGCAGCGTTCTTCCGCCGATGGAAGCAGTATTCGCATCCGGTCCCCTTTGATCATCGTTTTATATTGGTAAAAGTATTAGGTCTACTCATATTTCTTTTTAGTGCTGTAGCTCGTTTGTAGATTATAATTATAATATTTTCTAATAATGACATCATTGTAAATAAAAAAAAAAGAATATAATGTAATCCCTAATGAGGTAGTCAGAAGCATAGCTACCGAAGATATAGAAGCATTTGTACCGCTAAGGTATAAATTTTTTATTTAATATAATCATATTAATGTTTCAATATTATATACCCAACTAGTTACCTTCTACACATTACATTCTACAAATCTATTTTAATATCCATTTTACATTTTCGAATATCTACTGTAAATTCTGGATAAATCAATACATCACGGCACGGTAATGAATAAGAGTAAATGTATTCAATAATATTCATATATTCTCTTGTTATTTTATGGAATTTAACTAGCGTAGGTTATACATAACGTGTTTCAACAAATCTGTAAAGTAACACATAGGCAGTTGAAACAAACTGGCGCGTCGGCGATCATAATCTAAATACCGCCTCGTCTCGCATTGAGGAGCACAATAAGTAGCCGACTTCCTCTCCCACGTTTGGAGGACCGGACGCTTCGACTTGCGACCTCCGGCATAGCTCTTATATGCCCCTCGCACAATTTAAATAATAACAACCGTAGCTAAAAGCCGTTTTCTCAATTTCGATGCGTCTCTACTAAACCGTTCAATTTTTTGTCTTCTCCCCTTTTCACAAATACATAAGATAATGAGACAAAGGCTCGCAACAATACTGACGCGACACGTGTACCTTGAAGTTTAAAATAGGCATGGTTCTAACAAAAGTTTGTTTTATTTTTAGCAAAGCAATTTTCCTTATCTGGTTCCAGGGATTTTGGCTAAAGAACATTGTTATTTGCAAGATATGTTTTGCTTTAGTTCAATTTACGGTTCATCTTACCTAACTACACTATGTTTTATAATAATGTGATCTTAATGGTATTTAAAATACCTCATAGATCGTAAAAAGAATAATTTATTATTTTGTCTGTAAGGAGGATAAGGATTTGTTATAAAAAAAAAAACAAAGATCGTGACAAAATTATTATGATATCAAATGGTATTTATTGTAAATAGAATCATTAAAATCAACTACTTTTCCCTGTCTTTCCTATATGAGAAAGATTAGCTTACTATTGCTCTGTGAGATGACTGAGTTTCTTTTCCTTGTACTAGTGGTTTTATTCCATTAGTCGCTTTTAACCGACTTCAAAAAAGAAAGTTTTATGTTCGACTTCATATATTTTTATATGCTATTTTTCCGTCAAATGTACACAAATTTTTTTAATTCTTTTTTTTTTTTTTGTAACTTCATATACCAGGTTGTATCTACACTGCGTCTCTACCAAGCTACATATATATATACTCCATGCGTTAGATTATATTATACTATATAGGAACTCCATAAGGTCTCCCCTAGAAACTATTGTGATTAGTTCCTAACTCACACTAATCATTCCTCACTGGTACCCGCCAGAATATAACTCGCAGCGTAGGCAGTGGCTACCTTTTAATTTTCATCTCGTGTAAACCAACGTTACCAATACTATGTAAAATGAATACTAAGTTCATGCATGTTGTAATAAATGTTTAATATATATACAATCGTATTATAATTATTTTTTTTTATTAAGATTTAGATGATAAATAGACTGAGACCGTGATTTTTGTACACGATCAAAGATCACAGATGGATTTTTATAAAACGATTCGTACCTGTATTTGTAATTCTTCTAATTGAGAGCCTTCTATTAGAACCAGTAAAATGTCAGATGCCAATTGATAGGTATCAATAGCCGAACTGTGAATTTCGGATTGCTAATTGATTGCCGATTGATTTGATTGGTTTTTTTCAACACATCTGCTATCCAACACAAAGTACATACCTATCACAGTACACTATATGAAGCTTAGAATATATAAATATATATGGTAATAGCAAACGATAATTAGTCATACGTAAGGGATTGATAATAATTAGTGATGAACATATAAGATTTCATTTGGATAACATGATAAGATTATTTCAAAATTTTATAAGTCACACCATATATGGTCACTGCATCCGCTGTGCTACTGTATCCGGGACATAGTATAATCGCTTATTCAATTACATCACAAATTATTTACGCCTACCTAATAGTACGAAAAAATAATGAAATAGACAAATTTCTTATTATATGACAATAGGATGATTTCCAACAAATTTATCATTAAAACCTAGAAAATTCACGCGACTGTCAGATACCCGGTCCAATTTTTCTTATCGCAATGAAAACTATCCTATCTCTAAAATCGGAGCAAATAATACATATTTACAAAATTCTATTAAAATCCGTTGAGCTGTATCAGAGATTAGCGTGATATAGGTACTTATGAGTATATTGTATATCGCTCATTACTTACGTGTGACGTACAATATACTTACATGCTATGTATGTATGTTTGTGTGTATGTGTGTGTACGTAACATGTCGGTTGATTTAATCGATTGCAATTGATAGTCGCGATCTTGCGATAGTATAGCATCTACTTAGGTAGTTACACTGAGATACTTTTTGTCAATGAATCGTTACGAAATGCTTGCTGCGTGGTAACATGTCATATTACGTGTGCTCAAAACAATGAATGAATCTAATGTACTTGTGTGGGAAAAAATTATGTAAATATGAAGTTATAATGAATGTGTCTTTGGTAAATATAGTTTTAGAATTAGAGTGCCTCCTGTATAGGCTATCTATCTATATATATAAAAATCTTGTGTCATGGTGTTTGTGGTCACACTGCTTCAACACGATTCAATGGAATTTTATGAAATTATATTTATTTGGTAGGTATGAGAATAGATCGTTAACTATATTTCATACAGCTATGTCCCTATGCCTAATTTATATACTAGAACAACGTGTACCGGATCAGCTAATATCTTTATAAAAAAAAACTGACATATTGTAAATTTCAATTAATAAATACTATTAAATCAATCAAATTCGTTGATATAAAAGGGGATTATTAATTTTGTAGTATTATTTTTTGTTTGTATTTTACGTGATGATATTTTTTTCAATTGATAGGTCTACCCTATTATTGATTAATTATTTACTAATTTTGTCACAATTAACATTTTTAATGTTTTATATAACAACATTAAAAATATTGTAATCTGTGTTGAATCTATTTCAAGAAACAAATCTATTGATAAACTAGCAGTTACAAGACATTTCTAAAAACAGAAGGTTGGACTTATCTTTACCAATGGTAGGCAAATATTAGTCATTGTAATTTTTAGGATAATCATTAATCTAAAACCTCAACTATGTTCCTTGAGGTAAGTTACTTCAGTTTCACTATATTTACTATCACTGAGTTTATGATGGTATACCTTTTTATGACATACAAGATAATGCATCTTGTATGTAATAAAAGGGTCTGGTAGTAAAGTGTCTTGTTGTAAAATATGACTTCACATATTAGATATTAAATAAAATATAGCCCATGTTAATTAATTACTAATAATGTAGCACTGAGTTTATTCATTATAGACAAAAAATCTAATCTTTTTCCTTTATAAAATTAGTTTAGGTACATAGATGGTCAAACAATCTAGAATGGAGTAATGACCAAAAACATACTACAGAAAGTTGAAAAATACAGGTGACTCAGACCCATATGGCTCTGTATTCATATAATATATATTTTTACTGCTTATTATTAATTAAAAACTATATTTTGAATTCACACATTTTAAGATATAAGCAGAAGAAAACATTTGATGACTGAAATCCTTCAGAATATGATTGAGTACTAATCAATTAAATACTATGAGAAAGTTATCATATATATATATTAAAGTTTGGTTTACAATGAATTACCTTGTTTAAATAGCATAGTCAATGCCTTGAATCTTGTAAGAGTACTATTAATTACATTTGATTTTTATAAAGATAACATAACAGCTCAACAAATTGTCATTAAATTTGGTGTACATATAGTATTTGTCGTTTTTGGTCTATGTTCAGAAGTAGACTGATAGTGACTGAGATGATGATAATGATGATCTCATTCCAAAACACTATTATTGGGGATGAAATCATGAAAAAAGCTTAGACAAAATTTTAGAAGGATCACATGAATGAAGTTGCGAGTAAAAACCGATAATATATTAAAAATTAAATTCATAGTCATCAATAGCAATACCATTATATGTAATTACAAATATTTGTAAAATACTTGCTTCAAAGCTGCATAAAAATTTAATTACTTACTTTGTTTAATTGATATGTGCTGAAAATATAGACATTTTGTGAAATTAGCCCATATTCACATAATAAATTATGTATTGTTACAAAGATTATAAAGTCAAACAATATATATACATTATACATATGACAATTAATATTTATTGCTTGTCATAATTAAGTAAAAAATAATAGCATTTATTCCTCTCATGCAACACATATTAGTTATAGGTATAATTAGTATGTATATAAATTAGTATGTATATTATAAGATAATGGGTTTCATGTAACATGTATTATTACTAGTTTCTTGATTACTAATTTATATGGTATATTAAAAAAATATATAAATTAAATTTAAAATCCAGTACTAGCCAATTCTAGTCTTTATTTGTGTCAATAGATTTTGTTTTAATATCCAATATTATAATCATTACATAGCTTTCTGTTTTCAATACATATTTTGTACTGTATTGTAAAATATTTATAGTACATAATTTATACTGAATACATTAAAAGATTTAATATAAAATGGCAGACTTATCTCATAAAAGGATCTCTTACAGTCAACCTTTAAGAAGCTGAAAGAAAACTGTAGAATGAGGGTAAAAACCATACAGCTAAAGATATACTAAATAATACTCAGTAAAAACTGAATATATAATAAGATAAAAATACATATTTATGATACTTACATTTTATTATAGGAATAATTTAATCACCAGTACCTAATACTTTATTTATGTTGACTTCTAGAATCTTATTAGATGCAATGGAACAGTTCACTGCTAATGAGGTTCTTTATGGAGACATGTATTGCTTTATTTTTCCTCTATTCAAAATGCACTGCCTACAAATTTCTCGGTTTGCCCAATGGTTGACTGGTAGAGAACACCGTCCGGTGTTAAGTCCACCAAATGTACATAGAATTTATTACTGTATTAACTGTACATTAAAGTTTAAATAAATAAATGTCAGAAAAATATAATAACAAAGCTATCAGTTTTTTGTTTTTTATGTGGAGGAGCTTCGGTCAATGGATGATGTGAGGTATATATACTATAAATTTTTTAATTTCTATTATCTAAAAATATAATCTTATAGAGAAATAAGGCACTTATCTATTACCAACATAAGACAGAGGTATTATTATATAGAAAATGTGACTTACCTTCAAGACATACAACCTGAACACCATCTTGCTTAAGTCTTTTCAATAAGATGCCATGAACAGAGTCCGCGTCCCTGGGGCCACCGTCTCCATATAAAACGAAGATTCCTCGTGTCCGGCAATGTACAATCCTGGCTTTCAACTCTTTGCACTGTACCGTTGACGCCAGTTCGATCTTGCCAGCGGCTAACCGTCGCAGCATTATTGTCGGTATAGAAAAGTTCACCGCGGACCTTATATGAGATACCGAATACTCATTAGAACCTCGACAATCTATTAGGATTGTGTCCCTTTCGTCGGAGCGCAGTTTTGCTAACAACCACTCCTTAGACACCAAGTCGCACTCACATTCAGAGTCTGTAGGCATTTTGTAATCACAATGTTCTCTTCTGTTTACACGATACCTCAACTACTTTCAGTCGCCTGTTGCACTACTGCATAAAAATTACGCCAATAATTGAGTTTGAATTTTAAACATTTTTAATGCAAAGGTATTTTAAAATATATTATGTTAATCTCTAATATAAACCAGATAAAGCCATCTAAATAAACACTACACGAAAAACAACGTCCACAACGAGCGAGCTAGGCGCTAAGCTGCGAAACAACGCAACGAGCGAACAAATTCTACTACTAGCGCCACCAGTACAAAGCAATCAGCAAACAAGGTTTGCGGGTGGAAGGGAATGGGGGAAGGTGAGAGGAGAGGGCAAACAAGTCAGAAAGGGCATCTGTCAATAGTCAAAGATATTGGACTAATCTCTCTTCCTAGTCATCATAATATCTTCAATTCTAATTGTTTCAATTAAATTTTTTTCCCTAAATTGTAATAAAAAATAAAAAAATAGTAAACAAAATGAAAACATTTCATCAAGAGTATTTTATTTTACGGTTTTTTTTTTTTTCTCTATTATTTACTTAGATAAGTCCTTTGATATGAAAAAAAATTAAATAAAACTAATTATATTATGAATTATATTTTTACGTTATACTCTGGTGAAACGCTCCATCGCTACTAAATTCCCAGAAATCGTAATTATTGCTCCCGCTTCCCTTGCGCCGCTCATACGCGACTTTTTAGTTTTATTCAAATTTTACTTTTTAATGGACTTATAGACCACCTGCATATTGGACATAGTTTATGTAGAAAGATTGCAAGCAGGTTGCATCTGAATTTAGTAGGGTTATAAAGCGATATAACATTTTCTATACACTAGCCTACTATGAAGTTTTTATTTTATTATTCCTTCTGTATAATTCCTTGTTCTTAAGGTTACAATATAGGAAACAGAGAGGTATTTAAAAAAAACTATCATAACCAATACACATTAGTATATGCTATAAATCACAGATTAAGAATAGGATTCTTGGTTGTTTAAAATATGTTTGAGCACAACGATGGCTGACTCACCTGTCATACTTGTGAACGGGTACTGTATGTAGAGATTGGTCTGCTCTGGGTACTGTAACTGATTAATTTCAATAATTCCTTTTAATTACTTTTATACTATGTATTTTAAAATTTATAATCTGACACTGCTTAATATTTTATATATTCATAGAAATTCATTATTCATATAATTAAACTTGTTGAAAAAGCAGCAGCTGAGTTTTTGACTGTTTTTCTTGCCTGAAATCACATTCCGAATGGCGGTACAATCATAAAAAATAACTATTAAAAATGTTTAAATTTAAGTTTACTTGAATAAAAATATTTCTTTCTTTCTTTCAATAGATAGATATATACAATTTATATTATAATTGTGGAAAGACAAAGAAACAAATGTTATTATTTTTGTCCTGCTAGTGACAATATTTTTTGTACAAAGATGTGGATATTATTCTTATTCTATGCTTTCGTTTAAAAATAATTGTTATGTTGTTGCTGTCAATGTTATGTCATTGTCATTGTCAGTGAAGAAAACAGAGAACGCATATTAAACCATTTTTATGTTCCTGAATTTATTACTTTACATTGTAATAAATTTGTAAATTCTTATAAGCATTGCAATTAATTAGATACTAGTTTGGATATTCTTACAGGTATCTGAAAGTGCTTGTTGCATTTCCATTATGGAGGATATATATGATAACTTGGAAAACTACGATGACTTAAATATTATTAACGAGGTATTGTGTTTTAGCGCCAAATATTTTTTTTTTATGTTTTAACTAATGATGAATTTTTTGTTTTATTATAGATATATTAAGAAGTTGTTTTAGTTGCGTTAAATATATAAACTATCTATTCTCACGTTCCTTACGAGGTAGGCTACGAAAACCATGTTTCCAGTAATACTATCATGGTGTACATCATCTTTTGCTTCATTCACTGTCATGACTTGTCCCGTGGAAGAATTAATAAAATTTTATTACGAACTATTATATACAGCTAACAAACAAGCTCTTCATATCATAGTTGCAATTATAAGTTGTTTATAGCAGCCTATTAGTGTCTACCAACAGCATCAGTGATGTAATGCCACTCCTGAGCAAAGAGGTTTGTTACACCTCTTGTGTTCGTGATTGTATTTATTCTTATATTTTAATCTACTACTTATATTTCATGGCTTTGTCTACATGAATCACATGCTAAGTTGAGATTTAAATTATCTTTATATCAAATTTTATTCATATTCATTTAGTTGTTTGCATGTGTTTTGCATGAAAGAATAACAAACATCTATTCATTTTTGCAAATTTTCATATTTATAATAGTGGTAGGACACAGAACTGAACAATGATCATTTCTTCATGCACACATTGATAAGATAGTAAGCATATGAAAGTACAAATTTTGGTTAGTGTGTAATATTTTTATAATGACTCCAACACTATATTGGTATTCCATGATACTTTATTCTTTTTAGTATTTCTCAATTTTAGTAATTTGATTAAGCTTTGTATATTTATTTTTCAGTTAAAAACAGAGAACAAAAGTCTAAAATTAAAACTTGAAGAGTATGCTTTGTCTATGGATAAACTGCAAAAAGTAAGTATATCTCATTAAATTTTTACAGTATTAGTATACATTTAATTTGATGTCTACTAAGGTTTCACCAATGCAAACTGTTATTTACTGTTTTTACAGTAATTTTAGGAAATTCACTTTTCCTCTCACTGCTCACTTGTTATAACATCTGAATGGATTCTGAGGGAAGAAATTGTCCTTTTTATCCTCAGTCAGGTCAATCTTCATGTGGCCCCCTTTGGAAAACATTTAAGTTAATTGTGGTTAAGATGACCCAACTGAACTGATTTTGTCTTTACCCATTACCTCTACAATCCTGCCAATGTATACCAATATACATATTAAGCATTTAATATTTAAAGCTATTAAATAACTTTGTATGAATGTTTATACTTTTCTAGGTAAATGACTGAAACTAAGTAGCTGAGAATCGTCACAGGAGAGAGATAACAGTGGCCATCCCACTGTTCTTAGAATTCACATTCTGAAGTGCTGTTCCTTATTATTATCTTTACATTTAAAGTTTACTACTACACACTGGAAGGTAAAGTTATACACTTTACCTTCCAACAGTTGTGAGCATGACCCCTTCTAATATTTGCATTTAAGAGTATGTCTGTTTGTCTTGATCTGGGACTTTTTTTGTATGTATTTACAAAAAAAGTATTTCTTTAATAAAATCTGTCAAAAAATCTGTATATATATATATATATATATATATATATATATATATATATATATATATATATAATATCAGATTTCATGACAATTAGTTGATTTTTTTAGCCATTAAGACAGTATAAGGCAAACAAACTCATTTTTTCATTTGGAACTAATGTAATGTAAATTGGATTTATTTTTCCACACTTAGATAGATAGAGCTTAGTCTCTCATTTGAGTGGTTTTGCATATGAGTCATGGCTAGTACCACCAGCCCAAAAACTCAGAATCTTCCTGGGATTTTCACAGGTCTCATGGAGTGAACTTACCATTGTGTATAAATGTTTTGTTAATCAGCAATGGCCTGTTATTGTCCCTATATATATTATTATCCCTATCATTATTTTAAGGTTTTTCTGTCTAGATATAATAGACGTTCTGATAGTAGTTTATTCCATGTTGGTATGGCCAATTTTGATTGTCTGCAATCAGTAGGGAGACTTTGTATAAAAGTCGATTGCTTGGGTACCTTTGTCCCATTCGTGTTTCTACCGTGAAGCAGTTGTGTTTTCATGGCTGTGTTTCGGTTTGAAGGATAGGATATGGCGTGAATTTACAGGGTACAGAGGAATAACATCTGAGTCCTCAGGAATGACAAAGCATGGGGGGTATCATGGGCGAAACAGTATACTCTGTTATGTCCATGGTACAGCTGATATTTATAGGCGACAGTTACCACTTTCCATCAGGTGGGTCGTTAGTTTGTTTGCCATTCTAAGTTGTATAAAAAAAAAAAAAATCAGTAGCCTGTATCCATGTTTGGTTTTGTATGTCAGTGGATGTTTGACGCATCCATTTTCTAAACTGCGAGAACAGAAGAGGAAGCTACTGTTGTTCTAGAATCCTTTTAAGCTAGTTTGTCTTCGGTATTGTTACCATAAGATTTGGAAGTATTATTTATAGAAACAAACCTGATGTTTGTCACACACATATCATTATAATTATGAACGGATGTGCATTGAAATTATAGAATATTTTACAGGAATTTGACAAATTATCCTCTGAATATACAAAATTGGAAATGAATTATTCATCCTTACTTAAAACTGCCAGAGCTGAGGTTGAGAGAAAAACTCAAATTATTACTAACCTGAACAAAGAGTAAGTATTTTAGTTTATACTTGTGCTAGCTATGACTGCATTTTCAACCGAGTAATATGGATGAAAGGCAAATTTTGACCCTCTCAAATTTAGATGCTGTGTTTGTACCAAATATCATAATGATTGTTACCTCCTGTAGGGCTTTATTTAAGCTGTAAATTGCCAGGAGATAACAAACTTACTTTCATATTTATAATGACATATTTTCACTTATATAATTATTATACATGCCTGTATGCTAGTAGTTAGTGATTATATTATTATATTTTGTAAGTCATTTATAATATCCTATTAATATAATAAATGCGAAAATTTGAAATGATGGATGAATGGATGTTTGTTTCTTTTTCTAATAAAAGCTACTAAATGGATTTGAATGAAATTTTGGTACATGGGTAGGATATATCCTAGCTTAGTTCACAGCATAGTTTATGTACTTGATTAATTTAGATAGAGCCATGGAGTGTAATGAGTAATGATATATATGGTTATTACAAAAAAAATCATGATTTTGTATAAGTCGTCAATTAATAATATTAGATTTGATATTTTCAGAAAGGATATACTCATACTTAATTCTAGAAGAAATAAGAATTTATTAAATATTAAGAGGAATATGAGTACAAGTAATAATTTTGAGTTAAAGAAAAATCCTGAATCTGATATAACTAAGAAAAACATCCAAAATGTATCTGAATCTATGAAGTCAAATGATCTTAGTGCTATAAGGTAATTAGCAATTAGTCAATTGAAATATGAATTCTTTGTTCAATATTATTTATATTTTTCTCACTAATCATTACCTTTTATAGGTTAGAGGAAACCAAGGTTCCTTCAGAAGATGCAGTTACCAGTTTAAATAGAGTTACTACCGGTAAATTAGTAAATGTTGTTGATAACATAACTAAAAATAATAAATTAACTAGTGAGGGTATTAGTGATGCAAAAGAGAATATTACTCTACTATATAAACATAAGGATGATTATCAGGTTCAACGAAAACCATGTAGTATTAGTAATAGACGGAAATCCATGCCAGTAAGCAGGTAATATTTTTATTATCATTGTAATAATAAACATTTCCCCTTTGATTTGGGTTGAATGCAAAGCATTAAAATAAAAAAAAAAAAAATTATTTTATTTCAGGCAATATAGTAGATTCACTTCAGATGAAGAATGTGAAGATAATTCCAGGGAGGAAATTAAACATAAGAAAGAGTCTTTATCAAGACACGATACAAATAGAAAGAGCCGTGACAGAAGTTATAACAGTAAACAAAGTAAAATATCAGATACTTTAAGTAAGGATGATAAGCATGTAAGTCATCACGAATTATCAAAAGATAAATATTCAAAAACCAGAGACAATAAGAGATCAGATAGAAGTAGAGATAGATATGAACTACGACGCAAAAGACACTATAGTCCAGAAAGGACACATCGAAAATCAAAAAGGGATTATCCAGAAGATCGCATTCAAAGGTTAGATTATGGCAGAAACAGAGTTTTAGAAAGTCCACCAAGGGATAGATATGATCAGTACAACAGGAGACATCTAGATTTAAGGTCAAGAGATATTAAAGGTCATGATGATTATCATTCTGAGAAATATAGACATCAACCCTATGAGAGACAAACAGGAAAACATAAGATATTAAATGATAATGATGAAGTGTCTGCTAAGCGTTTAAAAATTGATTCTTATAATAAGTATAATGAAGAAACAGTTCAAAGGCCAAAAGAAGTGGAATTTGGTGTAGTACATCCTATAACACAAGCATTAGAAACTAACGAATCTTGTCAATCACCAGATTATATATTAGGAGATGCAACTTCTGTGCCCCCTATCACTGGTACATTTTATTTATTTATTACTATTTCTATTTTATAAATAATGACCAGATGTTATTTACTTTTTTTGTGACTAGTCTGATCAATGTCCTTGAATAGGTATTTTATACTTTATGCCCATGTAATAAAGTTAGGTAGACCTCTTTTGTATTTCTGTTGGATATAATGAAAAACGAATAAAAGTGAAGTGGCTGAATCATAGTTAATTTGAGACTTGAACTTTATTTACTCGAATTAAAAAATCAAAATTATACTCTTGTTTTCAGAAATAAAAAGTATTGCGGCTATTCAACTTGAAGATCCTAGAGTTACAAATAAAAGGTATATAATGAAGAGTGAGAATGGGAAAACTGTGTTATCAACAGTAACAGGCAGGAATGTTAGTTTAGAAATAATAGACAAGTCTGTTTGGGGGATTGAACATGTTGATATGCCAGATGCCTTAGTACACCACCCGTCTCACTATAGCGACGAATTGGTTAAAGAGATTTATGTAGATATTGATAATCCAGTTTCTAATTTATCATTCGAATCTGGTGAAATTTTATCATTAGAGACACAAGAAGGTACCTCTGACACTGCTGATTGTCGTTATAAAGTTGAATCGAAAAACGAGCATATTGAGAGCCAAGACGGTATTAAAAGAGCCCAGTTTGAACAATTGGAACACCATTCAAATAATGGATTAAAAACAAGGTACAAAAATCCCAAAACAAAAGCAACAAGTGATGAACCTAAAACGCAAAATGTATTGTCAAATAATATTGCCTTTATAAAAGACTCATCTGAATTACAAGTCAATAGAAATGACAACTTAGAAAACGTTGATTATGAAAATCTTCATAAAGTTGAATCGAAAATCGAGCATATTGAGGACCAAGACAGTATTAAAAGGATATCCCAGTCTGAAAAATTGGAACACCATTCAAATAATGAGCCAAAATCAAGGTACAAAATTCCAAAAATAAAAGCAACAAATGATGAACCTAAAATACAAAATGTATTGTCAAATAATATTGTCTTTATGAAAGACTCATTATGTGAATTACAAGTCAATAGAAATGACAACTTACAAAATGTTGAAAAAAATGATCATAATCGTAAAGAAATTAAGAATAAATTAAATGATAAAAATCTGTTCAAAAACAGAGAATTAATAGAAGGTGACTTAGAACTAAGCGACGAAGCTAGTGATTCTGTAGAAAGTAAAACATTTGTCACAAATAATGTCAACAAGACAGAAAAAGCAGACTGTTTGGAAAACACAAAATGTCAGGAAAAAGAAACGTCAGTAACCAATGATCACAATAGAAATTCAGTAGAAATTATAAATGATGAATCTTGCAAGGTTACACAAATTAAAAACCAAGTTGAAAATAATGCTTCTATAAAGAGTGATGAGGGTTATTTAAAAGGTGCTGTCAAAAAAAGACCACATAAATCACATAGACACTCTAAAGATGATTCATCAAAAGAGAGAACTGAAAAAAAATGTAGTAAAAAAGTTAAATCACAGAAAAGTGACACTGTATGTAAGGAAGTAAAAACAAAATTTTGTGATTTATTTGGAGATAGCAGTAGTTTAATTACCCCTGAGGATTTGGGTTTGACTTCATCTCAAGGACAAGGCGAATCATCAAAATATGTTCCGATCTTTGAAGATGCTCAAGACGCAGTTGATATGAATGTGAAAAAATCTGAACATATAAAAATATCTGATAAATCAGAAGTACAGAATACTGAAAAATCATCGCCATCGCAGTTTCAAAAAGATGCTGTACCAAAAAGTGTAATAGAAAATAAGAAAAGGAAACCAAAGAAAAATATCCAAGATAACTCTAGTACAGTAGCAACGAATATTGAGAGTCCACATACATGCAATATCCCAAAGTCGGAAAAATTAGAAATAGAAAACGATGTAGTAAAAACTATCATAATTTCTACAGGAATTCAACCTCAATACATGTCTGTAACTAAAGATCATACAACCGTAGAACAACAAATCACTTCTGATAATCAGAATGAGTTTTGTCAAGATGATGCTCAAAAGGCACAAGACACTCCTATGAGAGCCTTAGCTACTTCAACACCTGAGAGAGAATTACAACAAAGTGGTTTGGAAAAGGATATAAAATCCAGAATACCTGAACTCATTTCTAATTCAAATGAAAGTAAAATTGTACCTACAGACAATGTTACTGCAACACCTAACCATTCTTCTACCATGGATACACTGGATTCCCAAAATAATCCGGATGCACCGGATGTAAGAATATTTGTGAAGAGACGTAGAAGAACTATTAAAAAAGTAACGCCATCAAAAACTTAAAATTACGACAAATTTAAATATACTAAATATTTAAATTTATATTAAATATTTAAATTTGGACTGATTATTTACATAAGGTAAAATTATATCAGAATAGTTATCATTTATAGTGTAGCTATTGAATACGGCGTATTTTATTATTTTTTGTAAATAATAAAATATCATACAAAATGGACTTTTGTTGAAAATAGATGCTCGTTTTCTATTTGTACCTTTTGCATAACGTGTATTTATTATACCTAATACTGGATGAAATTGAAGTCACCAGCGGTTTTTAAAATTCAGAATTGATTCATAATAAGAGTAATATATTTATTTATATAAGAATTAGATTATATTACAACTTAAAAATATATTGGATCTTATTTTTATAATTTGTACATGATAAGGAACTATTACACATCTTAATGCATATATAGACAATTGTCTTAATCAAAGACAACGAATGAAAGTGAAAATTGGTTGTACTTATATGCTTTATACTAAGTGGGCTTAGTGGGCTGTTAAAATAATTTAACTTTTTTATTTCTGTTATTTAGAGTTACTCAATAAAAAGCATCTACTATAATAAAACTAGCTAATCCGCTAAACGTTGTTCTGCCATATAAATTAAAGAGAGGGACACTCTTACAAAATATACTTTACGACCTATTTTCATACTTACCATATACATATAAAAAAATCATAAAAATCGGTCGAACCGTTTCGGAGGAGTGCGACCACAAATATCGTGACATGGAATTTTTATATATTACTTTTAATTTCAAAGTAAACTACGCCACAAAATGTCAATTTTAACCATAAGAAAATATGCAATTTGATATTATGTGAAGGAGATGAAACTGACGCTAGATGGTCTGTTTCGTAATTTTAGTCTTAATTTATGCTGTACTATGATTACATTTTTATTCTATCTTCTTTACATTTTAATGACTTCAATTTTAACTATACCATCGTTTCTCGCACCGGGATCCTAGAAATTATATATGTATATTATATATAAGTTCTGTATGTATAGATATGTAGTAATTAGGCATAAATACAAAATTTTATATACATCAGTACATGCACTATAATTGCTAACACATATTTAAATAAATTATTTTCCAATATTAAAAGAATATAGAAATATTTTGTTAAATTTAGATAAAGATCAATCTTAATAGTTTAGTATATATTACAGTGAAGGATGATGAAATTATTTGACAAGTCAGTAAACCTCAAAAGGAACATTTGAAATTAGGTATGTGTATAAACAATATAGATATTGGTTTGAACATACGTCCACTATACACCCATGACGCTATCTAAGAGATTAATTGTTAATTGTAAAACAAATAAAAAACAATATTTATATTCCCATAACAGTCTTTATTTTTCTTACATTATAATTAAACATTACATTTACATTACTGTAACACAGTTTTTTACTTAACTCAGGCACTAGACTCGAACAAAAATACAATTGCATTGTACTTGCCTTTTAATTAAGTCAAACTATAATAGATAATAAATATTATGTTGAATAACTTAATATAGTTTTATTGTCATCGCCACAGTTGAAGCAAACTCAATTTCATCATAATTACAATAGGTAAAAATAATAATAGGTTAAATCCTATAAAATCCTACTAGAATTTTAACAAAATACGTGATATCAATGTGAATGGCGATAAATAATCTTCACTTATATATATACATTTTTATACATTATTATCACTTATAATTGGCCCTTGTTTATACAAAAATATTCAATATAAAACATTGCACATTGGCAAGCCATCACTTACATAACTACTTACCTCGTAAGGGACTTGACCTGAAGATAAAAACAGACAAATGTCACATTTTTTGATCACATTACATGTTTGTGGGGAACACAGAATTTAAACATTTGTTTTTATTTACATATATATATAAAAAAGATATCAAAAGTGTTTGTTTACAATCAATAATAGAAATAAATACATTGGTTCAGGCTTGCGAGAAAAATAGTGGATAAAAGGATGATAGTCACAAAATGCAAAACTGGAACGAAATTGACTAAACGCTAAGTGTTCTGCTAGTTTAAGCCAAGCTAACATCTGTATTATCTGTAAAATTTTAAAGAAACCGCTTATTTAACGTTTGAAATTTTATGTGCCATTTCCCAGCACCTTACCCCCAATGGGAAAATGGTGGTATGGATAAGTGGAATTATCCATTTTTTAGATATTGGCCAAATTATAATAAGTTGCTATTTTCATAAAAAAAGGCAATACATATTACGGAGATCATTGTTTTTAAATGCTCTTTAGTGCATTGAAACAAACGACCTCGAAATAATACATATATGACAAAACGATTATTGATTTAGGATAATGCTTTTAAAGTATCTAAAATAACTTTGCAAGTTAATAAGAATCATTTACATTATCAGAAAAGCATTTTAGTACACTAGAGAGCCTATTAATTACAGAAATATTTAATATTGGCTAAAATTTACCAGATAATACATTTATAACAGGTAACATTGGGGTCGACAATAAATATACAAAAATAGAATATAACAGTTCTTAACAAAATATTATATACAACAATTAATATTAAGACTCAGGAACAATAATTATGGCTCCCTACAGTTTACAACACTGCGAGTTATTGTAGCAACATTTAATAAGTAATAAACAATATTAACATATTTCAACATAGAACAATATTAATTCTACTAATGAGGTCTAACTGCATACCTCGGTGCCGACGTGAGATGGCCAGTGCCATGCAGATGAATACCGTGACAATATGAATTATACGTGAAAATAGAAGTTAATAACATAGAGAAGATTTTTAAATTACAAAAAAAAAAAAAAAATTATTAAAGCAATGGCATAATAATGGGGCCAATTCTACAGCGTCATTTACTTAAACCTATTTCTAAATAAAAACTGCAATTTGATATCACCGCGGAACTTATTCTAAGGACTAATATGAATTAATTTTCTCATAGATTTAAGTCTAAATTAATATAAATGTAATTTATATTAATCCATAAATTAGTAATTTGGTGTAATTATTGAATTAAAATATTAGGTCGAGATAAGTTTAAAGAAATGTCGTCTGGAAATCAACACCTTTTTTTATTCCAAATTGTTTTATACTTTTTCGTGTAAAATATAGAACATAGTTTAGGCAGTTATCACGAGTAACTGGCCGAATAGTGTTGCGAGAATAGTTAAGGCCAAAAGTCTTCAATAATAAAAGCACATTTTACATGCTAAGATAACAAAAGATACTAAAAAGCGACTTATGAAGATCTATATCTGGAGTACAGCTTTGTATAGATGTGAGACGTGAACACAACCAAAAAAGGAATGAAATGTGGTGCTGGAGAAAGTAAGCTGGAAAGATCGAATTAGTAATGAGAAGGCCCTACTTAGGGTTAAGGAAAAGGGAAAACATATAAAAACTATTGAGGTCAGAAGGGAGAAAATGTTGGGATACGACGCGACAAATTTATGAACATTATAATAGAAGAAAAGATAGAAGGAATAAGAGGAAGAAAGAAACCAAGGCATAGTTACATCAGGCAGATCAAGGAAAAAGTTGGTGTCGTGTCGTATCAAGAGGTGAAGAGACTCGCTGAAAATTGTAGTGCGTAGCGAGAGCGCCACCGACAAGAGCGTAGCTCTTAAATAGAAAATAAAAAAAAAATAGAACAATTTAATTTTCCTAGACTGACGTCACACGTCGGTTACATGTTGAACCCTGTAATATGGATTATATTATTGAACTTAAGATATGCACTTAATTAGGAATGACGTGAGTGTTGTCGACATTGGGAAATAAAGGCTGTCTCTGTCAATATAATCGTTAAGAGAAAACGTTCTTTGGTGATTTGACGACAATGTAGTAATCAAAGCAAACTATCAGTCGTAACCGTCTTCAAATAAGCGTACGAAGTGTCACCGGTTAAACGAAGGACGCTCCATCGACGACAATCGTGAGTTCTTTTACTTTTTATTAACATGATTTTTGTAATTTTTAAATCAGGTTGCAATACCAATCAGCAGTATTATTCTACACAGTCACGAGCGAATGCTATAAAGTTGTGTTGTGATTTGATAAAGTGCCTATAATATTGTTTGCCATTGGGATGTCGTGGTAGGAGGAGGAGGGCCCGGGCGCGGGGGTGGGGGCGGCTGCGGGGGCGCGTGGTGGCTGCGGGGCGGAGGAGGACGAGGAGGACGAGGAGGCGGCTGGGGGGCGCTTGGAGACGCGCTTTATGACGGCGGGCGCAGCGTCGGCCTGTGCGTCCGGCGGCGGCGGCACGTGCTGGTAGCAGACGGCGGACGCGTGGCCCGACCGCGCCGACGGTAGCGGCGTGCCGTTCTTCCACGTGTTCGTCGCCGGATCATATACTTCCACTATGTCCAGGAATGATGTGCCGTCATAACCGCCTGTTAGGAATTACTTGTTTCAGATATTTGTTGTGATCTCGTGATAATTCTAATGTAAAATAGAGTGGTTTAAAAAAGTAAATATGACTAAAATGTCCAAATGAATAACAAATGCATCTTATAATATACGTATTGGGGGGAAAGGGATTGTTAGCAATGGAGTTTGACAGCCCCATTGCTAGCAATATGCCCTATTATGTCGAACTCCACGTTGCCCCTCCAGGTTGCCCCTGGAAACCATCGTGAACAATTCTTGTTGAATTCGTCACGATGAGCCAACTGACCTGCTTCATCCTCACCTATCATCTTTCACTGGTGCCCCGCCGGTGTATACAGATAGCGCGGGTGAGATTACCATTCCATTATCATCCATTAAAAAAATATACGTATCACATAAAAGTAGTAGTAATCATTATTCTTTAGGGTATTTAATAAATCAAAATAAATGGGAATATGTCAATTTTTTTTATACAACTTAGAATGGCAAACAAGCTGACGGCCCACCTGATGGAAAGTGGTAACCTATGGACATGAGCAGTACCATAAACATAACAGAGTATACTGTTTCGCCCATGATACCCCCCACGCGTTGGCATTCCTGAGGACTCAGGTGTTATTCCTCTGTACCCAGTAAACTCACGCCATATCCCACCCTTCAAACCGAAACACAGGTGCTTCACGGTTGAAACACGAATGGGACAGAGGTACGCAAGCAATCGACTTGTGTACAAAGTAATGTAGTTAGTGTACGTATGTTACCGATCGCGTAGAGCTTGTTGTCGAGCACGGCGAGCGAGAGCGCGGAGCGTGCGACCCGCATGGGCGCGGCGGGCTCCCACACGTCGCGCTCCGTGTCGTAGCGCTCCACCGAGCCCAGCTGCGCCGCGCCGTCGTACCCGCCCACCACGTAGATGTACTGGTTCAGCGCCGCCACGCCTGGCAATTTTATTATTTCTATTAATAGGAAGACAATTTTTAAGAATTTCCATATTTACATTTATGGAAAGTAGCAATCCGCTGTTTGTTTACATTAATTAGGATTTACCAGATAGGAGACTTTGTACAAAAGTCGATTCCTTGGGTACCTCTGTCCCATTTTTTTTTATGAGTGAAAATGGTATGGTAACCCCGCCTGCGCTAACGGGATACGCTGGCGGAGCACCAGTGAAGGGTGATAGATGAGAATGAAAACAGGCCAGTTAGCCCATCATGATGAATTCATCAGGAATTAACCATGATAGTTTTCAGGGAGAACCGCGAGAAGGTCGACCTGGTTGGGTATATTGCTAGCAATTTAGGATTCCCAGTCTCCATTACTAACAATCCCTTTCCCCCCACCTCTGTCCCATTCGTGTTTCAACCATGAAGCAGTTGTGTTTACATGGCTGTGTTTCTGTTTGAAAGGTGGGATATGGCGTGAATTTACTGGGTACAGAGGAATAACACCTGAGTCCTCAGGAATGGCAACGCATGGGGGGTATCATGGGCGAAACAGTATAGTTTGTTATGTCCATGGTACTGCTCATGTCTATAGGCGACGGTTACCACTTTACATCAGGTGGGCCGTCAGCTTGTTTGCCATTCTAAGTTGTATAAAAAAAAAATTAAGATGAAAAGTAAATATAGAATGTAATCCGTCTGGATTTGTTTCCATCTGGAATGCCATCATCATTATTAACTTTTACATTTATAATATCATTACAGTTATAACTTTACAATCAGGACTGCTATTAAGGAACATTACAAAAACTATGATATGGCAACGTGACTTATGACACGTTCCATGAACACAGCAAAATGTATGAAATAACTCCTTATATTGCATATTAGCACGTAGCAGTTAATATAAAAGGATATTGTAATAAGCTAAAATGAGAGTATTCGTTATGTAACTCTGAAGTAAACAAGTTTACAACCGTCAAATAATGTGTTTTACTCTCCGCCAACCTCCCTCATTGTATTACTATTTTTTGTTTTGAGTATATTTTCCGAACTCATACAGCAATAAATAAATCTAAGTCTCTTATTCATAAAAACTAAAACCTACAAACCTTTTTTATTATTAAAGTGTTTTGTCACTGTCTTTCAAATTGAGAATTTACTGCAAAATAAAAAGACAAAATACTTCAATAGCTAAAATAGGTTTATGAGACGATCAACGTTTTTATTAATAAGGGTGTAAGAGTCTCAGGGCAGATTCCCTGAAGCACTGCGTTAGTGTGTACGCACCGGCGCCGCTGCGTGCGACCCGCATGGGCGCGACCTCGGTCCAGCAGTTGTTCTCCGGGTGGTAGCACTCGACGGTGGCGGTGCGATGCGAGCGGTCGAGCCCGCCCACTGCGTACAGCAGGCGGTTCACCACGGCCACGCCCACGCCCAGCCGCGCACTCCGCATCGACGCTACCGTTGTCCACGCGTCCCGCTCTGGATCGTAGCTACAATGCAATCCATTATTTTTGATTAGCTTATAACTCTATCCGCAATTTCGTTCGGGTTACCGAGATAAAAAGTAGGCCATGTCCTTCTCAATCCCATATGACACGTTTATACCAAATTTAACGATTTTCAATATTAATGACTTAAGTTAGTTATTTAAAAAGTGCTTTAATAGCGAGCTAAAATGTTAAATATAATATAAGTTATACAGAAATGTACCACTAAAAATTTTATACCTTCCTATTTTACTCTTATATTTTTCAAATACTTTTTACCATCAAAATCTAAATTTCCAATGAGAGCTTGATAAAATCTTATTGCAGGATTAAAATTGCAGTTCATTATCAGAACACTTTTAAATAATCAATCAGGATAATGAAAATTGTTTTTTGAAAATTACCAAATAATGCAAGCTTACTGTAAACAATAAATACACCGAACATTTTTTAAATACGTCAAATGATTTGATATATCAGATCTTATGTGTAATCAGAGACAATTACATTGCAATGATAATAAACTTCTGATATAAATATGTAAAGTCATCTAGAAATCAATTATTTTTTATCGTTATTACATAGTTCATTGTACGTAGTGATAATACTCAAATTGGTCAAATACTTGTATGTTGATTAATAATTTTATTATCACTTTGAAGTTCAATGCAGCAAGTTAACAAACGATAAAAATACAGTTAATCAGGATACAATGCCTGCGATTATAAAATATAGGCATACCTTTGTTTTTTTTTTTTTAATAGAAAGAATAAAAAAATGGTGCGATAATAGATCTGGGCAACTAGATAAATGAAAAAGAAAAAGGTACTTACGTTTACAAATTTTAAATTTCGAATTTATATATTATCAAATAACAAGATCCATTTTGTTAGTAGCAACTTAAAATTATGTTAGTAAAGAAAATTAGAACATACAGAATCCCATATATCAATAGACCATACATCTGAGAGGCATTCCGTTAGGACGGCAACGAACCAGGGAATGGTTATTTTGTGTTTTTTTTTATACCACTGAGGCGTCAAACAAGCATACAGCCCACCTGATGGTAAGTGGTTACTGTAGCCTATGAATACCTGCAATACCAGAGGTATTACACGTGCGTTGCCGACCCTGAAGAAACCTCTTTACCCCCTTTTTAAAAAATCCCATACTGTAGTCAACGTTTTGACAAAATACGTCAGCAAGCATGAGAAGGAACCATATAGGATGTTCGGTGCCTCATTCTTTTTTATGCGTGTGGTACACATATTAATTTCACACTTGTCTAGAAGTAATCTCCTATATTCTGTGGTATATATAAGATTACTTCTAGAAATATTATATTTAAAAAGATTCTGTTTTTTTCTTATGTGATATATTTTGTAAATATAGTAATATTATTTCGAAGTAATTTAAAAATTAAGTCGTAAATTTTATATAGTCTAGAAATAAGTAAAGAACCAAATCTGTTATTATAGAAATTAAAATCTATCTGTAAAAATTATAACGTAATGATGTAATAACAATTATCATGTTATCATTCTTCGATAAAAACATGCCAAGATTGTTCATTATTATATAGTCAATATATTGCTTACCATTCAACTGTTTTATGGTATTCCGAGCCAGATGAACCGCCAACTGCATACAACAATCCATCCATTACAGCTACTCCAACCTATAAAAAAATAATGAATTTAGAGACAATAAATAAAATAAAAAAAAAAATAAAAAATAGGAGTACAATCGTAATACTAATAGAACAACAGTTCTATTTTGATATGTTAATAGTCGTGATTGTAAAACTTTGAATACGTATTGATAAAATCTTGTAATCTCCAGCACCAATGGACATTGATATCATTACAGAAGCATCTTATATTTATATATACCTTATATTATATTTAGTTTTAGTTATATACAAAAAGATAGTCTAAAATAAAGAATGATATAAATACACTATATTTTCATGTAACATATATGCAACTTGGAATGAGAGATAAGTTTACGGTATATCTGATGGAGTATTAAATATAGCGGCGTCGCTTTACACATAGATATAGCCATGATCATTACACAATACAAACAATGCAAGAGGCGCTGAAAGCCTCTTGCATTGTTATTCTAAAGGACTAAGCTGTTATGGAGGCATAATAGGGTAGAGGTACCCTGTCCTTTCATCAATTGCTTGAATCATTGAATGATTCATTGAACGATTTGCATTATATAACATAAAATGAGATACAATAGATACATAACTGGATAATTAGAATTTAATAAATATCTGATGATTGTTTCTTCATTTTCTTCGTTTCGTTCGTCGTGGAAATAACAAACATAGTACGTTTACTAAATTCTTGTTATCTAGTTATATATAACAAATATACTTATTTCTGATAGCAATTTAAGTATTGTATTTGTTAAACAAGTAGGTATTCAAATAAAGGAAGTTATAAAGATTAAGAAAATAGTCGTCGGTGATATGGCGGTGTGCTTGCTTACCCTATGCCTGGGTTTGGACATGGGGCTACAAGGTCGCCACAGTTCCAGAGCGGGGTTGTACACGTCGACCCAGTCGCTGTCGTACGAAGAGCCCGGCGACGTGTTGCGACCGCCCACCGCGTAGAATAGGCCCTGTCGAATGTTTAACTGTACTGTACTGTACTGTAAAGTAGCCTATAACCTTCTCTATGACATATAGTAGGTGTATGTGAAATTTCATAGTAATTGGTTAACTCGTTAACAAGTAACAAACAAACAAATTAACTTACAATTTTTTTTTTTTAGTAATTGGTGACTACCGCCGCCCATGGTCACCCACAACACCTACGGCATTGCAGGTGTGCTGCCAGTCTTTTAAAAAGTAATATGCCCTTTTCTTGAAGGTATGTTGTTGTATCAAATACTGTGCTGGAAACAAATTTAGAAAGTGCCTTGAAAAACATTTTTAACATTTTAGTTTATGTAAAATCATTTTTAATATAGTGAATGTGAGCGAGAGGACTAAAAAAATGTTAAATAAGGGAAACACGGTGGTCTTATGGGAACAATGTTATTGTAGCAAAAGTAATTGAAAAATAACAGATTGTATCATTATAATATCAGCCTTTAATTATTCACTGCTGAACATAAGCCTCCCCCTTGGGGGGTTTCGCCAGTAGTTGTCACGCTGCTGCCCATCTCTCGTCTTTCCTTGGTAGCTTCTTATGAGACCAACAGGAAAGGAAGGGGTGGGCTATTCTATGCCGGAACCACATGACAGGCTGTGCATGTTATACGCTATATACTATATTGTCACTTATTACATGTAACATTTAAAATTTGTTTTATTTTTCGAAAAAAAAAATCGTTATAGTGAAGACAAAAGAATAAAAGTCAAATGGATAATATTTTCTTTTTTGAAGTTCGTTGAAAATATAAATAAAGAGATAGTTTTTAATATTCACCTTCAACTTAAATGAGTCCAAGAGACGTGACATGTTGCCAGTGCTCTGCAGTAGAATGCTGCAGCAGCTTACACTGATTTAGCGTCCTCTTTATTGTGTTAAACTTAGTTTTATAATTATTTTATTTTTTGCTCTTATCAATGTAGCTATGTTTTTTTTTCTTTTTGCTTTATATACTTCTATATTAATACCTTAAGAAACGCAGCACCGAGCCCGGACCGCGGCACGGTGAGATTCGGGAGCGTAGTCCAACAATTGTCGTCCAAATTGAACGCCTCGAATATGCCTATGGAATGTCTGAAGTAGCCGCCCGCCACGTATATAATGCGAGGCGTGTTCGGCCGCCGTTCTTTCACTACTGGCTTTTTATGTAATGTGAGATCCTGAAACAAGTTATAACAATATTATTATTATTTCAGCTGTTATCTGTCCACTGCTGAACATAAGCCTTCCTATAAGGAAATTTTTGCCACTAGTTGCCACGTTTGGCAAGCGGGATGGCAACCGCAGTTAGGTTTTTAGAGATGTTTTAAGAGGGACGCTGTTGCCCATCGCTCGCACTCCCTTAATCGTCTCTTACGACACCAACGAGAAAGGATGGGGCGGCCATTCCATGCCGGGGCACACACGGCCAAGTTGTTACAATACATAGATAAAATCCCTACTTTGATTCGGGGAAATTATACATGAATTAGTAGTTATAATATGCAGTATTTGTCCACAAAAGCTTTCGTGGCATCTCGGATCATAATAGGTAGTAAACTCGCTAATAGGTAGTCAATAAGAGGATCATGATATGGATGATTTACCAATTTTGATCTTCTTATCCCTGGATTCTTACGGGTAAATAGAAATTAATATATAAATAGATACTCTTTATTGTTTTAAAAATTTATATAAAAATACAATAGATATATACTCTTTATTGTTCCTTCCAAGAGATTACAATAGTAAACTTATTGTAGATACAAACAATTACAAGAAACGTTTACACTGAGAAAACAATGGACAGTCTTATCGTTAAAAGCGATTTCTTCCAGGCAACTTTTGGATAGGCTATTATTCATTAGGATTGGAGTTGGTACAATTGGAAGATAGTGCCATGATGGTTAATTTTGTAATATAAAAATTATACTTAGAGATGAGTGTACTTATAGCTTGGATGCTAAAAGTTATTGTGGTGGTAGTACCGCGCGTTACTTCCGTGTACCGCCGGTGCATCTAGTTGGCGGGTAAACACCTATGTTACTTTTTTTTTATACTACTTAGAATGGCAAACAAGCTGTCGGCCCACCTGATGGAAAGTGGTAACCGTCGCCTATAGTCATGAGCAGTACCATGGACATAACAGAGTATACTGTTTCGCCCATGATACCCCCCATGCGTTGCCATTCCTGAGGACTCAGGTGTTATTCCTCTGTACCCAGTAAATTCACGCCATATCCCACCCTTCAAACCGAAACACAGCCATGCAAACACAATTGCTTCACGGTTGAAACATGAATGGGACAGAGGTACCCAAGCAATCGTCTTTTGTACAAAGTCTCCCTCTGTTAGTTAATGGTAATGTAGCTTATTATAGGTGTAAGAATTCTTAAAATCAGTTAAGTAGTTTTTAAGTTTATTCATTACAAATAAACAAATCAACAATTGCCGTGTGGTTCTGGCATAGAATAGGCCTGACTGCGGTTGCCAATCCGTCTGCCAAGTGTGGCAACTACTACCCCCCCAAGGGGGAGGCTTATGTTCAGCAGCGGACAGTTAAAGGCTGATATGATGATGATGATGATGAAACGAACAATCAAATATTTCCTTTATGTAATATTAGTATAGAAGTAGTAGTAGATTAGAATTTAGGTTCATTAATTTAAACTCATGTTCGGCGCTTAACACGACGCGACTACAGGTAAATACTACCTACATACCTGATTATTATTTTTTGCCGACGTTTCGACGTGCATTGCGCCACGTCGTGGTCACGGCAGGACTACGAAAGTGAAAATGAACCTTAATTGTCTAGTACGTAATATCTTTTCATATTAATATCAAAACAATTACTATTTTTCTTTTATTATTCATGTCTATAGGCGTGTTCGTATGTATATTATGAGATGCCCACTTGTTTGCCATTCAGAACAGCATAATAAATTTATGTTATTATAAAAAAAATTACCTTAAATATTTTAGCTAAATATTCCCTGCAAGCAGGCACTTTCTCTAGTACTCTACATGTATTCATTTGTTCCTTTAAGAAATTAGGCGTGAGGTACTGACATCGGACCGCTTTCAGGATGTGTTCCATACGTGAATGCCGTCTATCTTCGTCGTATTTTACCTGCAATACAAAAAGAAATATATAAGTGTATCAAAAATCAACCATAGTTTAATATGTAACATTCGTCGAGAATCTCGAAATTATGTAAAAAAAAAATAATTAAAAAATGTAGCGATTTAAAGAAATTCAGTATTATCGTAAACGAATAGAACAAAATAATTAAAAGTTCTTTTTTTTACAAAACAATTTTTAAATATTTGCCAAAGTTGTGGAAGTGCAAGCACAGAGTAAGTAAGCACTATGTTATAGTTACATGGTAAAATTGCAGAAGACAAGAAAAACACAAGTGTGAGGTTATACAAAAAGACAAGACTTTGTATTATAATTTACTATTGTTACTTCTTCATTATTTTGTTATTTTTTTTTTTTTTATTGATGTGTACATTCATTGGTGTGTTGCGAGACGATTGAAGACATAGTTTTTTGTTGTATTTGTCAGCCGACTTAATAAATTAATAAAAGATGGTGGTTCTCGATTCAGTTGCATTTTTGTGTTTGTTACTTCACAACTCCGTCATTTAGAAACCGATTTAGAATATTCTTTTTTTATTTGAAAGGATTTACTTTCAAGTTAGTCCGATAGAAAACTGTCAAAATCGGTTTAGTGGTTTAGTTTTTAAATGAAGATGACTGGTTTTGCGTCGACTGAAGTTGATGTTGTTTGATGAATAAAACTTTAAATTATATTTATCCTCTGCTTGGTCCCCATTGCTATGAATGTACCCTATCAGGTCGACCTCCACGCGGCTCCCCCTGAAAACTATCGTGACTAATTTATCGTTGAATTCGTCACGCTACCTGGTCTGCTTTTTTATCCTCACCAATCATTCCCGATTGGTGCGCCGCCAGTGTATACTGATAGCGCAGGCGGGGTTCCCATTACATTATCAAATAAAAAAAATCTGTAATAGAACAGCCAGTTGATCAGCAGCGTATCATTAGGAATAAATGAATTTGCTATAAATTGATGAATTAAAATTAATTCTTTAGTATTTTACACACGATGACTTGTAATAACTTCATCACACGGTGTATAATAATGCAATAAAAACGATGAACGCGATATATCTACCCGTATTAGTGCCTACCTTGTTATTATTGTATTAAATAAACAGTGTTATATATTATATATATATATATATATATATATATATATATATATATATATATATATATATATATATATTTCAAATAATGTGTTTATGTCCAAAAACTAAAGTATAAATGTTCAAAATAAAAATGACATATTTGAATTATAGACTTGAATATAAGATATATATTTTATATACATTTATCTTTTAAACTAAAGAGAAAATAATTTCAATTATGTATTGTTTGAACAACATTATGAGTATGAACTCTTTATAGAAAATACATAGTTCTTTTATACATTTTTATAACACAAAAATATATAATTAGAAAAAAAGAACGTTTTCTTCATTTTTTCATTTAGAGAAAACATATCTAAGCATGTGATTTTGAAACCGCCTTTTATTGTACTACCAGAACTAGTTCTTACGAGTTGAATTTTTGATAAATTTCGAGTAGTTGTAGAAATTTTTCAAAATCTTCAATTACTACACAATAAGTTAATATAATAAATTTAAGCTTTTATAACTAACCCAACTTAGTACTGCGTTGTAAACTTCCCGTTCCTCGCCAACGTTCAGTTCATCCTTGCGTATTAGAGAGATAAGCTCGGGTGCCGTCAGTTGTAAGAATTCCTCTTCTTGACAAACCTGTATTAAAATCATTGAATGGTTTTCAAACAATCGTCGTGGTTTCATTTCGCATAATATAAAATTTTCTACTCAAGTAATAAATTTGTTTAGTTTGTATAGGTTGTTTTATATATATAATACGTATTTACATAAAAATATATTTAAGTTAATTTATCAGCAGTCTAGCTCCCAAAGTACAATTCTTATTTAGTGTGGGAATTAATAGCGTTGCGCGAAGTGTCTAGGACACGTAAAACGCCATCTAGTATATAAGAACAAAAATTATGGATGTATGTAAATACCTGCGTAAAATGTCTCTCGATGAATGTATTGGCTTTCTGTCTGAGCTCGCAGCAGCCGTGTTGTTCCGCAAAGTTGGCGATACCGATGGCATTGGATGGGTCCAGTTGGCGTTCCAAGAACGCGCAGCACGCCTCTATTACGTTCGATATCTGTCAGCAAACAGCTAAAATACATTTAGTTTGCTAGTATAACTCACAGGGACTTTATATTCTTATACTTTATAACTATAAAGTCTTAAGAACCTTTCTGTTGGTAGTTAAACGAATACATTTTGACAGAATTGTGTGTTACGTGACAAAGGGTTTGGACCGTTGGTTGTTCCTTATTGTGCATTAGCACAGTGTTTTGCAGACCACATTGTATATAGTCATAACTAGCTTTACACCATGGTTTTACCTATGTAAATCAGTATATAAATATGTGAAGTTCTAAGTTAGGATATAATCGACCCGTACTAGTACATTAAATTTCATTCAAATCCATTTAGTAATATTTTCCATTTTTTAAATAAGATAAACATCTATTGATGCTACAAACTTAATTAATAGTAACACACAAATAAACATATAAAAGTTAAAAAATAAAAGCGATATTTAAAAATTGTGATTATTTTAAATAAGCAAGTTGAAACTGTTAACAACTGTTTATATAGGGTCTAACTGCCCCATTGCTAGTAATACACCTTATCAGGTCGACCTTTACGCTGTTCCACCTGGAAACTGTCGTAGTTAATTCTAATGGAATCTATCACTATGAGCTAACTGACCTGCTTTCATCGTCCCTTAGCATCCCTAACTGGTGCCTCAACAGCGTATACTAATAGCGCAGGTAGGGTTACCATTTCATTATCATCCATTAAAAAAAAAAAACTGTTATCGAGTATGACCGATAATCAATGGGTTATCATTGATATTATCATTTGTCCGGTTTCCTACCCATCGTCAACCAAATATGATTACATTGTGTTAGCCACGATTCGGAATCGACAACAAGGATAAGGACAAGGATACAAGGATTTACATTACCGTCGTGATAGGGTATTGCTGGCGTGTTTATTTCGCTGACATTAAAAAGCCGATAAATATTTTTTTTTAAAGTAACGAAGAACATTCCTGACAAATGGGAGAAGAGGTAATTTTCTAACGTATGAGTGGACGTTTTAATTTTTTATAGTACGTTGTACGCTGGGTCAACGCATGCGCCAATCATGCGAGCGTTATTTTCTTGGACGCATGGCGTGATTAGAGCTTGATAGATAAATTATAAAAAAAGCTATATAGAAATCGCTCGATATCGTTATATTTAGTTCAACAACTCTTTGTTGTGTAAGAAGAGTAAAATATAGTTCAATGTATATATAATTTATAGTACAGTGCCCTCTCTCACGTCACAGAGTAGGTAGGTACGTGACTACTGCGATATTTACTTTAGCTAGCGCGAGCGCGCGAAAGCAAATCGTCAGATCATGACTTGCAATAATTTCATAAACGTGATCGAGAATATAAAAAGAATTATTTTATCGATTTTGAACAGCGCATTTAAGTATTGTACATGACTATGGGTATTATAGGTACCCATTTATTATTACATATTCATGTAAAATGATAATTGTCTAATAACAGTGTTATATCTACACAAAAGTAGGAACTATCTTACAATATCAATACAGTTAAAACAAATACCTACATCAACCACAGGGTATGGATGTATAACACCATAGTCTTCAGGAATGACCACGCATGAGGGGTACCATGGATATCGTTGTATTCTGTGATGTCCATGGAGCTGCTCATGTCTATATGCGATGGTTACAAAATTCCATCAACTCGTTCGCAAAAAAATACATTCTAGAGTGTACTCGGTCTTAAATCTAGACAGATTAGAGTCTAGAATATGATTGATTATTGACCCTCTTTTTGAAATTTTGCACAACCACAGGGGGTTGTTATCTTGTTTTTTTTTATGTTTAGATAACGTAAGAAGGGATTTAACAAAGTTTCCACTGGTAACTGGAGGATAATCCACACCTACTAAGACGCGGGAAACAGTTTTCTTTTAAAACTTAATAACAACTTATAATCTAATTCATAAATTTTATCAAAATACAAACCGATTACAGTATCCCGTTTTGGGTTGTACTTTACACATTATCTCATACAATTTAGAAGTCTGTGGTCCATGACAGAGATACAAACATTCATATATTGTTAGCACTGGGTTCTACATAATCTTTACCAGTAGATTTTTTTTAATGGGTGATAATGGAATGGTAACCCCACCCGCGCTATCGGTATACACCGGCGGGACACCAGCGAAGGATGATAGGTGAGGATGAAGCAGGTCAGTTAGCCCATCGTGACGAATTCAACAAGAATTGTTCACGATGGTTTCCAGAGGGAACCACGTGGAGGTCGACCTAATCGGGCATATTGCTAGCAATGGGGCTGTCAAACTCCATTGCTAACAATACCTTTCCCCCCTTTACCAGTAGATTAGAAAAGTCATAGCGCCGATCTTGTATTGCATTATAAAAACTAATATTATCATGTTCGTGGCCGTACACCAGTGATTTGGAATAGCCATAATATAATTTCTTCTTCACTTTAATATTAATTTTCATTGCTCCAGTACGAAGTCGAGTCAAGTAGACTCGGTAATCGATTTAGTTGTGTGCAAACTATAAGAGATTCGAAGCTTTAAGGTATTCATTACATCATCATATATATAGGATCAAACATTTATTTTGGAGTCATTACTATATTGTTGAGGCAACAAATGACGTACGAAGCCTCGATAATTCTAACACTTATGCAAGATGTTATAACACATATTACTGATAGTGGAATCGTGTCATTGTATCAATAAATCGATTTAGATATGATGCTGTATATGATAGTGTAGTTATTCCCTAATACATTTTTAGTTTGTTATTTACTTTATCGATTAAATAAGTACAAAAGCACTATAAAACTATGTCATTGTCATAGATAAATGTCAGGTTGTCTGCAGCGTAGCAGTAAAATTTACTTATCAATAACTCCAAAGATAACTGTGTTGTCACATTAAAAATTAAACATGAACTTTGACAATGACAACTTCCCTGCATTGAAGTGGATTCTAAACTATAGTGTAGTCGTTGGCAATGATACTACTGATTTATGTGCCAAAAAAGTTACACAGATCGGAACTGAAAATACTAATTGCTTTACAAGGGACCTTCTTTCTTTAGCTATTCCTCAGATGTCTGAGAATTAGATAAATCGAAAGATAATAAGTAAACATTACGGTGAAATAAAGTAAAATCAAAACCCGTCAAACCGCGGTTTTTATATATCGGGACCGCCCAAAACTAACAATTTCTCTCATTATTAGATTACGTTTAGGCCACGTATGTATCTTCGGTGTTTTTGAACAAATTAAGAATACGAGATAGCTCCCTGTGTGAGTATGGACTAGACGAAGAAACTCTGGTAACGTTAAGTATCTATTAACTTTAGTCTTTTCTTTTTTTGTATATGTCTTAGAAAAATGTCTGTCCAGAAATAATATAAAACTATAATATATCCTTTTAATATTTAACTGTCATAAACCGTTCTTCCTGAAAAATCCCTGGAATAGATACTCAACGAATACGGACAAGGAAATGTTATTGCAACACTGACAAAAGTGCGGTGTCTCTTCCAACTTTGACATTGGCAAAATCATCGGAGCCACGATGGAACCATAATAAAAAAAAAAAAATATCTATGAAGTTTCATTCGCGTAGGAATTTTTCGATAAATTTGCAAATGTAAACACACTTGTAACTTATCGTTAATCGATAGATCAAATAATTAACTTACATTTACATACTCGTAACGTACACGAGTAAAACTTACAGATGTAAAGACGGCCTTGCCTTAATTTACATTACAAAGCTAGTGGCATTAAACTATTTAATTAATTATCATCAAATTTTACGTACAAAACAATAATTTCGTAACATATACATTATTTAAGCTAATCACAATACCGGTTATTTGATTAGAATTATTTTGTTTAATTCCGCTATCATTAGTATGTGTATGAGTGCTAATACTCGAAAACTAAGCATTAGGTGACCGCAATATAACGTCTAGTTTAGTAAAATATTTAGTAATCACAACAATTACGCGCTCTTTAAATTTTTTTTCACAGAAATGTTATCATACAATTCATTTTCAATTTTTATAATCCTTATATAATATTTAATATTGTAAATATGAAAGTGAGTTTGTTACCTCTTAGAGCATTAATGGCTCAACTAATCGGCATGAAGTTTGGCATAAATGTAGTAATTCGAATCGAGAAGGTAAGCTATTTTTATCCCAGCAAATCAATATATTTCAATCACGAGGACGAAGTTGCAGGTTAAAACTAGTATAATAATAATTGCGTAATCTACCATACATTCAAGTTACAGGCATTATAGTTTACGACCCGCCTGATGATAATTGGTAGCCGTCGCCTATTGACAATAAAAGCGTCGTGAACTCGTGCCATTGTTGATAACTATTATGTTATGCGTCTGTACTCTATAGTTTCATTGCCATATACCACTCTTTAAATCGAAACACAGCTACGCAAGCACAGCTGTTTTACAGTAGAGCACAGGCGGGACAAACGAGATTTGTACAATATCTCCCTCTGTTTTACTAAAATATTAAATATTTTCTCTTAAAATCGATACGATACGATCCTTTTTTACTACGTCTACTAAAAAATGTTCGCCAAAAATAAAAAAAACCAAAAAATAGTAGTTCCGTCTGTTCCTACTTTTAGATTACCTTACTCTTTCCTTTTCTCATTTCATTCTCTGTTACTACCATTATATACTTTACAAGTACCAAAATTATATTAATTAGACAAATTTCACCAAATTTTTGCGAAGAAATAAAATAAAAAAAAAAACCTAATCTCGTAACACTGCGTTTGATGGTCGGCTTTACCTATTTTATGATACATACACGAATAAATTTAAAATTCCTCATACCTGGAACATTGTGGCGGCTGGCAGCAACTGACAGACTGTGACCTCTGTGATCCGCACTTTTCCCGTGTACATGAAATAGACTAGCCACGCCATCGCCGAGGGACAGACTCCTTGGAGTCGCACCCTGGACATTTCACTCTCTTTTAAGCCGCTCGTAAACATTGCCTGTTGAAATATCATATTTCTATTGTTGTATGTGTGTATTTGTATATTCACATATTGCCGCGCGGTATTGGTACAGAGTGGGCCACTCCTTCTTTTTTCGTGGATGTCGTAAGAGGCGACTAAGGGGACTTAATAGTCAAAGGACGGACAGTGGGATCCCTCTTAAAATATCACCAAATACTAGTTGCGGTTGCCAACCCGCCTGCCAAGCGTGGCAACTACTAGCCCTATCTCTCTTTATGACTTATGTTCAGCAGTAACATATTGTGCTGTGAATAATTTTTCCCTATAATCGACAGGCTGTTTGAAAAGTAAATATTTATATAAAGAGAGATGTGCTATGAACAATAGAGGCATACCAGCTCCGCCTCAAAAAGACAAATGTTTACAATTTTTGTATACCGCACAAATCATAATTGCTTGGTTTTCAAGCTAAGGTAGTATATGAGAAACAAGGCTATTATAGTATAAAAAATAAGCTGACCTTGAAGTAGGGACTCCCCGCTGCTAGTACTACTTTGTGAACGTGGAATAACTCATTGCCAACTTCTAATATCACGTCGGTGAGCATTTGGTGAGATCGCATTGTGAACAGCATCTATGGGCAAAGAAAAAATTAAGAAAAATTGAATATTATAAAAATAATATTAAATAATTCAACAGAAGTTCTAAATACCGACCGCGCAATACGACAATTAGTATGGTGGTTAACAAACAGAATTGAAATGAAATTTAGTTAAGTTTTTATTTTTTCTACGTTAGTAATAAAGATATGATTAAAAGAAATATGCGTTATTTGGTGACGATCGTGTACCCAAGAAGTACCTAAGATGATGACTTTTGTACGAATTCTCACTCTGGACGACCTCAAATGAATTGCAGGAAGTCAGTGGATGTGGGTGGCACAGGCCTATGGGGGAGATATAATGGCTGATATGATGATGATATTTTACATAGCATGCCCAGTGCATTATAAGGATTTTTTTTACATGCATTGAAATATGCATTGTTTTTTTTTTACTGATAATTACTAGTTACAAATTACTAGAACCAAGAACAATTATTATGTTCTCTTAATCTAAAAAAAAAAAAATATTACAGATAAATTACACTTGCAGTAATTGTTGTCTGTTAGATTATCTCAAGAACTCTGAAAAGGCTGAAGTAATTGTACACAAGTTTACAATTCATATCTTACGCAGCTGATAAGAATTGTGCGATGTCATGCCGACTTGGAAAATACGTAAAACAGCGAGCTCTGTGTAAATTTATATACGAAAAAGTTGTATTATTCTAAATTCCACAAATTATAACATTTTCATTATAGATCTTTTTTCACACTTATAAAATTTTATCAAAATAGGCCCAGCCGTTAAAATCAATTAAACAAAATTTTTGTTATAAACATAAGGAGCATAGATTATTTAATTACTACGTAAATATTAATTTTAGCAGTCATATCTAAAGAAGTTCTCTATAAAAAAAAGTAAGTGTATGTGTATAAGAGTAATGTGATGAATCATCGAAATCATAAAAGGAGATTATTTTTAAACTATTCGTACCCGTAGTTCAGTTTTAATAGAAATTTATTCGTAATAAATAAAAACATTTACATACTATGGAGGGGTCAATCTGTATTCGATTAATTCAAATAAGTACGTATAAAATTTTATTTAAATCAGCTATTTGCATGTAATTATGTAATATACAGAGAATCACTAATTTAATGGATGATTTGGATCCCATTACTTAGTTATAGTCTCGTTAATTTAGACAAAAATAAAATTTGCATATACAATTCTTATATGCGCTATACTATTTATTTATTTATAGTAAGGCAACAGATTACAAATTAATACATTAATAAAATAAATATTACATAAAACGGCATTAAATTTGCACTCCAATAACTGCTTTGCATAACATTCGATATTATATACATTAAAAGAATGAGAAAAGAATACTATACACGGCTACTATAAGAATGGATTTCTTGGAATATGCGGACGGTAACTAGAGTTAGGATTTCTATGCCCACAAAATAATGGGAAACTGCAGCTGGTACTATAAGTGACGTGTAAAAATATAATTTTGTTTTTTCAAAGTCATTCATTAATCTGTAATAGTCATTGTTAACTAGCAAATAACACAGTTATTATGTACTTTACACTTCGTATAATGTGCATAAAACCTAAATAAATAAATACATAGTACAATTATGTTAGTTTCACCCGCGACTTCGTCTGCGTAACCGTGATATATTTACTGAACCGAATAAAAATATAAGATTTCAGATTTATTTTCTTCATAAATTTTACAGAAAATAAGTAGCGACAATGTAAAACTTGTGAAAGGTTGGACCTTAAACTAGATCAAAGATCTGTATCTCCTATCCTAAATCCTTCTCCATCCTATACAGTACCTATATAGTAAAATTTAATAGTGATTGGTTTAGTCATTAAAACGCTATAAGGTATAAAATAATAAAACACTTTCACATTTACAATATTAGTAAGAAAGTAAGGATTACACTAAGTGAAATAGATATAATTAGCATGTGTTTACTAGTATCAGCATTCTATATGTGAAATTCAATATTTTTTACCAAAGAAATAATAGCAAAAATATTTTAAAATCTCACCCAGTAACATAATAGTTGAACGCGTTTTATCAAGACTCAAAAATAAAATTACATTTTTTTTGTCCTTAACCAATCTCTTAATTTACATTCTCTCATTGGTAAATAAAAAAAATGAAGTGTGGCTTTTTGGTATTACATTATTGTATTATTAAACACATTGTTAGTTTTACGTGCGTTAAAAAATCACGATGACGATGCAAAGTCTTATTTGGTGCCGTTTGATCTGGTGACCGACTTCAATGACATTACAAAAATACTTACACACGTTCAATTTCTTCAAATTTATAGTTACGTAGATACGTGTGCGACTATAGGTTAGATTTTAATACATAGATGCCGAAACAACAAATTTGCATACCAGAGGAAGAATTTGTACAAATCGTTTGCTTGGACACATCTGTCCCATTCGTGTTTGTGCTGTGAAACAGTTGTGTTTGCATAATTGTGTTTCAGTTATGCAAACACAACTGAAGTGTGGGATATGGTAGTGACAATTACAGGGTACATAACACTTTAGACCTTAGGAATGGCAACGCATGACGGGTATCATGGGCGACATAGTGAACTCTGTTATGTCCATAATATTGTTCATGGCCATAGGCGACGGCTACCGTTTTCCGTCAGCTTGTCTGCTATTCTTAGTTTAATAATAAGGTTAAGTTTTAACTCCAAATTAGGTTCAATAAAGTTTAATTTACAACTTCAAAATTTTTAATCAATGTTAAAAATAAAAATAAGTAAAAAAGTTTAGAAAATTTTTATGACCAATGAATGTCTAGGCTACATACTAAAAGATATATCTGTTTCAACAGGAAGCGTTTAGTGTTTTAAAAATATAAATAGGTATGTATTATTTTCTCAAAATCGAGTCTAACTCGCATTAATTTTCAGTTTTGATTTCTGCCATACAATTCATCTTAAAAAGGCTTCCTATAGAGTAATGAGGCTGTGTACTAAATTAACATCGTCTTGTACGCTAAGCATATCAGTAAAGTATTATCAAAATCTCTTATGATCTTATAATATACGCACAAATACGTAAAGAAAACAATTAACTGGGAAAAAATTAATAAACACTGTCAAAATTATACAAAAAAAAAACAGGGCAAATATCAAACATAAATATTTATTCTGCGTAAAGAAAACGATAGATAAAACTTCTAAAACAATATAGTGGGTTTAAAATTAAAGTAACTTTGTTTTTAACAAATTTGAAAAAAGAAAAGTCTGAATACGATGGTTTTTTTTTTCTGTATGTATGTTAGAATATATCCTGACTAGTTCTGAACTGATTTTAATTACTGTTTATGATATCAATAGGTTTATTTGGATGTTGATCCCGTACGAATTTTGTTAAGATTAGATAATCTAGATGTATACTCACCTTCATAAAATCAGAAATATAGTTTCCCATACAGAAAGTCATGTCGCCAATGTCATTGCAGCTACTTCCAATGGCGCCATCGAGGGTGGCGTCACAGTTCATATGGTGAAGATCGTCCATGTTGTCTTTGTATACCTCGTCATCTGTTTCCATTTTGTCTCCTGTTATAAATACATATAGTCAATCTTAAGTTGAATTAGTTTTAATCTATAATTTAAAAAGTTAATCTGGATAGTGTGTCTACAGTTTACACTTTCTGGTAATATTCTAATTAATTACTATCAATTACTATATTTATTACAGATGGACAACCAATTTGTCAAATATATATATATATATATATATATATATATATATATATATATATATATATATATATATATATATATATATATATATATATATATATATATATATTATGTACACTGTTTATATGATGATTTTATATATATGATTTTATTTATTAGATTTGATTAATAAATAATTATTATAATAGACTTAGTCTGTATACATTTAAAAAGTTTAGTCCTTTGTTACTCACACCTGATTTAAATGGATTTTGTTAAATGAATTATATTTTTATAATATTTTACAATTACACATACATTAATATAATTAAAACTAATAAAGTCGTGGATTAGCTGTGTAAACAACGATAGTTAAAATTGCCTTAAATCGTAAATCGCGGCCGCTAAGATTGTGCTAGTAATAGCACTAGAGTTAATATTATCCCCTAAGCTCGAGGTACTAGACTTGGTGCACTAATATGACAAGTAATTAGTTGTGATTAAGAGTCGGTCGTAACATGTGCTAACTCTAAATAGTCCTAATACCATCATAAAGACATTAAGAAAAAAATAAACAATAATGTTAGTAATATTAACAGAGTAATATTTTGTTTTATAAAATAATATGATAATTTCAGGTTCCCCACAAAATGGAACAACGATCTCAAAAATATTTCAAATAGTTAATATGACAATATTTTTTTTGTGCAAAATGGGGAAGACATTCAACAGTAGAAAGAATAGATTTAAAAACGTCATTTTAAGAAGTAATGTATAAATAATTAAAGAATATAATATAATAAACAATGCACAATAAATTTTGAATTTAAAAATGTACTTTTATTATTAGGGGTATTGCCAGTATGCCTTAATAATTACATTACATGAATATCATTTGGACACACAGAAAGTATTAATTTGCAAAAAAAAATATACCCTCAATACAACAGCCATCTTCATTCCGGTATGTTGGTAGTCTCATTTTATTATATTTTAACTTAATGTAAGTATTAAACATATAGTCCTTAAGTCTACTGTTCTATATCACAGTTACAACAATCACAACACAACTGGCACATTATTTTATAAAACAAACCAAAGGATATTAAAAAAATGGTAAAATTAAAACTGTTGATGGGAGATTGCACTAGTGAATTCATACATATTGATAAGTGTGCAGGTGTCGTTTTATAACGTAACGCGCTTGAATTTGGTATCTGCGCGTGATATGACGCCCGCGCCCAAATCCTCTGTTGCCCCTTTATTACAAATAATAGTGACACAGCAGAAATTGTTAGCTACAGGAGATTTGTAAGTTACCTTAGCTGTACCTACAACTTTGCCTGAGAGAATTAGTATAAAATGTATCAATATCAGTAGTAGTACATCATACATGCACATAAGGGGTATTATAGGTGAAACAGTATACTCTGTTATGTCAATTGTACAGCTTATGTTTATAAGTGATGATTACCACTTTCCATCAGATGGGCCGTCAGTTTGTTTGTCATTCTAAGTTGCATAAAAAAATCTGTGTATCATTTTGTTTTTAAATCTACTTAGCCATTTAGACAATAATGAATAACAAATCTTTTTTTATATTAAACTTAATGTAACCTAATATTACAAAGTTTTTAATGATTAAACTAAAAATTTACTCAACTAATTTAGAAAATTCTTTAATCTATAGAAACTTACATTATCAGTAAGTAGCTTAGGATGTATTATATAAAAAAAAAAAAAATGTAAGAGTAAAAAACAAGGTAAGTTGCTAGTAATATTACTATAATAAAATGCAAGCGAGTTTGTTTGCTTGTTACATTGCGGTGCCTTAACGGTTCTATTTATCATTATTATTAAATTTGGTATACATATACCATATGGAATAATTGGTAATTTACTATCTATTCTGATAATTAAATATATTCAATTTTTGCTAAAACATACAGTAATAAAACATAGTTAATGTAAATTATATTTTTCATTTTTAACATAGAAATAAAAATATAACAATCTAAATTACTCTAACACAAACATAGTTTGTAAATTATATTTTTTATTTACATAGAAATAAAAATAATATTAATTACCTAATTGATTTTATGAATGAACAAAAAATGTAATGTAAAAAATTGAGCTTGAAAAAAAAAAAAAAATAATATATATATATGTATGTATATATGTATATATATATAAATAAGTGAGCTGTTTAACTGATAGAAAGTAGAGGTATTAATCTATAGCTACAGAATGGTGGTAATATAATAATATGACACGCAACATTGAGATCATTAAATACACTGTGGCACCTATGGTAGTTATCCCCTATGCATTTTCATTCTTAAAAACTAAGATATGCTTCTGTTTTCTGTAATGCTATTTTATATTCTCAAATCAAAGTATAGTCATGCAGACATAGCTGTTCAATAGCATGAACATGTGTAGGGTAATATTGATAATATTAGACTCTTGCAATACATAATAAAGCATAATATAAATATTATAAAGTATGTTATTATATGTATATTATTACTGTCTTGTATATTATTATAGACAAATTTTAACTACATAGATATTAGACTATTTCAGTATAATATTTTATAATAAAATAGCTCTTTTTTCTTTCAATGAAAATTAGATACGTTTGACTTTAAAGTACTGCAGAACTAATAACAAACTGTGTGCAAATTTGTGTTTATAAATAATCTATTATTACAGCAGAAATAAAAACATAAAATAAAAATTTCTTATATATTTTCTATTCAAATTTTCTTTATTTACCTACACATATTGACGATGATAAGGTCAACCATTGTAATGTCGCTGCTACGAGTAGGTAGGTAGGTACGTAATATTATTATCAATGACCACAAGTCATCTATATACACGCTGCGCGTGCAGTGTAAACTTAGAGGTATTAAGTATATTCAATGACATTTTTAAAATTAAATGACAAATTACAAATATATATGTATATAAAAAAACTTACCCAGTAAGTTAATTATCTAATTAACCAAAGAAATACACCTGCTAAGTTCTCAGATAATTGTAATACATTGCTTGTAGGAAATTCAATAAAATTACACTTTTGCGAACTTTAATAAGCCAAGAGTTTTTATTATAGAATGTCTTCATTAATATTTTTTCACAGAATACCCTAATCAAGTAATTAATGGAATGTAAGCACAGTTAAGTTATTTTTCGCGAACTCAAAATTTTAAGTTAGTATTACATTATATACACCTATAACACTTTTATAGGAATTTTAATCAGTCAGGTATATAATTTATGATGTTGTACAATTCTAAATATTGTAAGAAAGAAATACTTATTACTCGCAAATTATTAATAAAAGTTTAGAATTGGAGCAAGAGTGGAAAAAAAGAATTTATTGAAAATACGAACTATTAATGAATTGAATGTCAGCATGACTGATGACATTGAGTTGTTGATTGACATTTTGAATGACAGTATAGACAGCGTAAATAGAATGACAGTAGAGTTTAGTATTACCATTTTTTGATTTATGGCCTGTAGTACCAAATATTTTAAACCTGAGTAGATTTAGTTATACGGCGCCTAAAGTTCCATTTTCTAAACTTATCTCCAAAGTTAAAATTCTGTTTGAAAAGAAATTGAATATAGTTTTTAAATTGTCTAAAATTTGTATCGAATATACATTGATACGGAAATAATTCTTTATTGTATTATTTCGGAAAATCAAAGGTTATGGGCTAGTTTTTGCATATCTGCCCGTAAAATAAATAAAATTTTATAAGAAATAAAACATATATTAAATACCTAGGTAAAAAGTAAAAGTAAAAAGAAAAATTTCAATCTGAGAATGGCCGTCGCAACAGCCAAAAAGCTTATTTCGTAAAATCACACTGTTTGGTATCACAGAGAGATATTTATTTAAGATCATCTTTATCATTTGTATTTACTAAGCTATGTACTTGACCAATGTAAATTGGAACATTATTCATAATTTTTTTTAATATTAAGTAGCAACACCAAACATAGTCAGGGTTGTAAGTTTGTAAAAAAGAAAGAAATTAAAAAAAGTGTACAATGGCAGACGCAAAGCAAGGTAAAATTTAATAAATTTAAAATTTAATGTTTACTCAGCCCTGTTATTAATTTTGTTATCAATAGTTATGTTTTCAGAAATTGCAATTTACTATTTATAAATAAAACAGATTCGATTGTTTAGTTCATGAGCATCGTTTGAAGCACTCATGCTGCATCATCAACGTAATTTTTTTGTTTCTTCACATTGAATAATATATTCTATAACGTTAATTACTACATTTTGAACTAGGATTTTTCTTCCTATATTAAATCTAATACTATTCATCAGTAATTTTCAATTTGTATTGCGCCCCCAAGTTTCTATTATGAAAATTGACTTTCCTTTATATTACATTTCATGAACCATTTTTTAGTGATTTTTTTTTATATTATGCGATTATGTCTATATGTTTATCTTTTATTTCTATTAATAATTGTTACAATTCGTTGTTATTTAACACAGGTTTAGTGGAGATTATTTACACACATTTTATTGTGATTGTGATCACCTTTACTATTTTATTAGACATTTAAGTATCGTATCAAAATTTAACCCTTCTTATGATAATGCCGTTTTTAGGGAAACCTTCCTCAGAAGATTTTTACAATGGGTCCTCTGTGGGACAGTCAAGGGTAGTATTAGCAAAACCTAGACTTGGCGGTTTTGGATCTTCAAGCTTTGCTTCAAGTTCCAGTAAAAGCTGTAACCCATTTGGTAAATATAACATTATAATTTCATAATACAATTGTAGTAAATATATCTGTAAACAAATTATTACATTTTAGGATCTGTACTACGACCACCACAACTTAAACCCAGTAGTAATCCATTTCTGAAAGTAACTGAAGCATCAAATGAATCTGAAGTTAAAAAGGAAACTGAAACCCCAACAGATGAGGAGAAACTAAATGAAACTAAAAAAGAAACAGATGTACCCATGTTTGTACCTCTGGGTTCGGCAAATGTGACTTCTAGAACAGCAAACACGGTTCCAGCACCGGCACCTGCACAGCCAGCTAGTTCTTCGTCTGGTTTTGTCTTTGGACAGAATTTAAGTGAAAGAGTGGTGATAAACGAGAGTCTAAATAATGGTGAGGCATCTTCAACAGACCATGGCACAACCAATGGGACTACTGAATTATTGTTTACAAGTGCTGCTGCATCAGTAAAAGAAAATGCCCAGGTTTGTGATAATCTATAACTATTTTGCTTTATGTTTATATTATGAAGGTGGCAAAACAACATACACTTTATCTGATAGTAAATTGTTACTATAGCTTATTGACACTTGCAATATTGAGAATGTCACATGTATGTTGCCAACTCTAAAAAAAACTTTATACACCCTTTTTGAAGAAGCTTTTTTGAGATTATATATAAATCATCATCTTCCTACCCTTATTCCAATTATTATTTAGGGTCATAATATGGTTTTATCCATATTACTAAAAGATTTGGCTTATAGTTTTATGACTGGCCACCTGCCTGATGTCAAACCTCTTTGGGAAATTTGTTGATTTATTTTGAGAATAGTTATAAATATTATTATTTATTTTTTGTTAAAGTTTCATTTTGATCTTGATGAAGTAAAACAGGTTAAAATGACATTTTACATAATAGTGTTACTGAACTAGTACTCATCACTATTATAGTAGACTAATATTTGTGTGTACTGTTTCACCCGATTTGCATATGAAGTGATTTAATTATTTCTGAGATCAGTCTGAACATCATTTTTTTATAACAATATTTTTAAAGTGGTTTTAGTTAGTGGTTTTAGGTTGCTTTAGTGGTTTATAGTTTCTTTAGTGGTTTTTAGTATTTATCATTGGTATATTTAAGGGAGGCCCATATGGAGGTTGACCTATATTGCATTTCATTACTAATAATCTTGCAACTTAATGCTTTTATTAATGGATGATAATGAATTGGTAAGCCTGTCTGCACTATCAGCATATGCTGGTGAGGCACCAGTGGATAGTGATAGATTAAGATGAAAACAGGTCAGTTGGCCTATCATGAAGAATTTAATAATAATAAATAAACTTGATTGTTTCTAAGGGGAATCCATGTGGAGCCTCCAACTTCATAGGTTATATTTTTAGTAATAAGGATTAATATCCCAGTTACTAACAATTTCTTTTTCAAATCCCAACTTGATGTAGCAGCTGTATGTACATATCCATTTAAGTATAGTTGAGTAACAAATATCCATTATCATGTGAATGGTTGTTACAGGACGAGGCTGGGCCTAGCGACGGCGCGGGGTCGGGGTCAAGCCTGGCGGCGGCGGCGGCAGAATATGAGCGGTCACATGCACCCCCGCCGCCCCCCACCACAAACTACACTACTACTGGCGAGGAGGGCGAGATTAACGTATTGCAGGTCTGCTTTTTGTATATAAAGAAATAAAAACTCACATGAATATGATTTATATATATATCTAATTTTTAAACAAATATAGAATTAAACTTGGGAACCATCTTGTATCTATATGCGAAAATTCATTGCAGATTTCATGTCGTTTATTTGCCTGGGAGAGCGGCAGTTGGCGAGAGCGCGGCCGTGGAGTTCTGCGATTGAACGACCCTGCGGGCGGGGTCGGGGCTGGAGCTGGTCCGGGCGGGGCGGCGGCGGCAGCGGCCGGGGCTGGCGCTGGGGCGGGCGCAGCGCGGTTGGTGGCCCGCGTGGCTGGCTCGCTGCGCGTAGTGCTTAATACTAAGCTATGGCCCGACATGGTAGTAGAACGCGCTGGCACCAAGTCCTTGAGGATTACTGCCGCTGATGCACAGCAGCAAGTCAAACTCTTCCTTATTATGGTAAATTCTTCATTATAGAATTCAATAATTAAGAATATAATGTTTCTTTAATTGGCCCCACAGAATGAAACTGGATCCTATTTTATACAAAACAACATCTTTATTACTGCATTACAGAGGATACTATATAATATTGATAGAATTTAACCATTTATTTCACTAAAGTAACACTATAATATGCTGTGTGGTAATAATAATCTATAATAATTAGATTTATTGTATAGGATGAATCTGAAAATGTTTTATGGTCTATGTCTATGTTTTGGCTAAATGAGAAAAAATATAATTTACTAACATCACGTCTGCAAAGTATCATAAGAGTGTGTCCTAATTATGTAGTCGTAGCATTTACCACATTTACTTACATCTACATCCACATGTACAACTCTGTAAATTCATCCTCTAAGAAACTGAGTTCTATGACCTTTAACAGTAGATAACAATTTTTATTTCAGGGTGCCCCAGTGGATATAGCACAGCTGCACAGAGCGCTCACTTCTAGAATAGCAGTTAGCAAAAGGACAATTAACTGCACACAAAACACAACATCGCAAAAGGCTGCTGAGCGGCTGGAAGCTGCCACTGATGAGATTGAGTATCTTGATAAAGCTAATGATGATGCTTTTTCAAATGATGATGAAACCAATTATGAGAATAAACCCAGTGGTTCTAAAAATACTGCATCACAGAGTAAATCTGTTGATAGTCAGAGATTGGAGGTAGACCCTGAAGAAAAGACTGACAAGCATAAAACGAATTTAGATGGAACGGATGAGGAGAATGAAACAAAGTCATTAAAACGAAAGGAACCAGCCGAAGATGAGAAATCGCCTAAAAGACAGTGCCCAGACATTGTAGTTGAGTGATGATGTTATTTAAGTTCTGTTTGTGTAAAAAGTAGGTGTAAATGTGGACATTGTTAATGTGTTGGCATTACACTAAGTTTCAAGTTTCATCTAAATCTTATGTAAATGTACTAAAGAAGTGTGTAGAATATTTATAATTGAATCTTAGGCATAATGCAATATTGTTAATTAATAAAAAAAAAAGAAAAGATTATGGTGATGCCATTTAATTATGATAAAAATGCTAACAGTTGATTTAATGTTTAGTACAAAATGTCACCATGGTATAAAATATTTTGGGACACGAAAATTTTATTTCACATTCCAATAATTGCAAATGAATGCATTGCATGTTCGGCAAGAGCTGAATACCAAATATAAAACTACTAATGTGGATTGTTTCTGATAGATAATACCTAATTAATATCAATAAACATAATTTTACAAATATGTTAGTAGTTATTTAACATGGTGAGGGATGAATTTATTTAAATATAGCAGAGAATGGGTGCGTTTGTAATTTACTATGGTAAATAACAAACTTGTTTTTCTCGCCGTAATACGGCGATATTTACACCAGGAAAGCGATATGTATGCAACTGTATGATGCTATTTTTAAAATTACCACTTACGCATATAATTTTTTTAAACCTATAGTTCAATTAGCAGTTTCAGTCGAGAATGCAAATTAATACAAATATAATACAAACATGAAAATAACGTCCAAAAAGTCCGACTTTTTTTATTTAATATTTATATGACTGTACTTTTAATTCTCATTACGCATAGATAAGGATAAAATCATGTCAATAGGTTCATTGCGAAGAATTCACCAGAAATTAATCACGATGGTTTCTAGGGGGCACTTTATACCATTATCTGGTAGGTTATAGTGCTAGCAATGAGGATGTTAGATCCCACTACTAACAATCTCTTCCCTCACAGAGATCTATCAATATACCTTAGCAATGTGGTCATTTAATTGAATAGGTAACTATTATTCATGATGGGTTCTAAAAGGTTCATTACTAATAATATCCTATCAGGTCGGTCTCCAGACGGTTCCTCCTGGAAATCATTATTGTTAATTCGTGTCAAATTCTTTATGATGGGCCAACTAACCTTAATTTATTTTGACCTATCATCTCTCACCGGTGCCTCGCCAGTATATATCGATAGCGTATGCGGAGTTACCATTTCATTTTCACCTATGAAAAAAAATCCTTTCCTCCAATATGTGATATTAGGGGGGAAATGGATTGTTAGCAATGGGGTTTGACAGCCCCATTGTTAGCAATATGCCTTATTAGGTCGACCTCCACATGGTTCTCCCTGGAAACCATCGTGAACAATTCTTGTTGAATTCGTTACGATTGGCTAACTGACCTGCTTCATCGTCACCTATCATCCTTCACTGGTGCCCCGCCTGTGTATACCGATAGCGCGGGTGGGGTTACCATTCCATTATCATACATTAAAAAAAAATGTGATATTGCGCTACCTAATCGGTATTGTATCTTTTAGGACGAAATACAACAGTGGAGGCCGGCCTGATATAAGTTAGAGTAACTGACTTTCCCATTATTAACAGTCCTCCCCTTGCAGCATGCAATTAGGCATAGATACCTATGTATCTATTTAGGAAGAAGAAAAGAGTACTTTTAATCTTGGTTAAGCGATACGTCCAGACTATGCGGGATAAAGTTGCGAATGCACATTTAGTACATATCACGTACAATAAATATGGCGACCGTAATATAGGTGTAGGACTATGAGCTCAGGGCCATTTTTATGTCAGTAAGAAGACTGTTTTCAGCAGTGGGCAATAAAAATAGTAGGTAAATATGTTGCGAAATAAATGTTAAATAAATTCGTTCTTTTTTTTTAATTTGCTTTAAGATTAGAAAAATTATATTGATAAGGTTAAACATTTTTCATGTTTAAGTACAAATTAAAATTACAAAAAAAAAAAAAAAAAAATAGGAAACGCCTATCGAAGTTAATTACGGTTTATATCGTTTAACAAGTATATAATTAAGTCCCTACCAGATATATGTTATTTGTCCTAAACATCCCATCGACTATTTCTACACGTCGGGTGCTAATTAGACAAACAACATAATTGCCACTTAATTACAAAATGGCTTTGGGTGGGTACTGTTAAACATACACAACACTTGTAAAATGGCCCACTTATGATCACATGACGATATATATATTTTTTTAATTTTCATGTTTTTATCATTCAAATTCCCTTTTTTTATATTTTGGGTTATATATTTATAAAGGATATCAGAGAATATGATTTAAATTACACTTCTTCTTCGCTTTTTTTGATATTATTTATTTACTGACTTGACAATACTGGTTTTAATGAGTATGGATTGAGTCAAATAAAGTTTGAGACAACGTTTTTAAAAATATGGAAAATTGAATTATAACTCTGCCTGCGCTATCTGCATACGGTGGTGGAGTATCCGTCAATGATCATATGTCCGTAAGAATTGTTGTTCCAGGCAGAACAAAGCAATGGTTATACAGTCGCCCTTATTTATACTATTTAAATATCCCGCAGTGTTCCATCCCTTTGCCATGCCGTGCGTAGGGGTACTTGAGATAAACCAGGAAAATTCTATAATAACTCCGATGGATAGCTACATTAATATCTACTTAGTCGACTTCTACGCGGTTCCCCCTGGAAACCACCGTGGTTAATTCTCGCGGAATTCGTCACGATAGGCTAACTGATCTGCTTTCATCGTCACCTTTCATCCCTCACTGGTGCCCCGCCAGCGTATACCGTTAACGCGAGCAGGGTTACCATTCCATTATCACCTATTAAAAAAATCTTAAATGTGGAATGAAACACGCTGTATTGTCTTTTTAATAAATTATAAAATTGCAGTTTATGTAAGTGTCAGACTATATGCATATAAATTGCGACAATATCTTTAATTTGTAGTAGTTACAGTTACTGGGAACGATGGAAAAATATTCTGTTTTCGTAGCGTTCGCTCCGCACTTCAAAGCACTCGCTAGAGTGGCTTATTTCAAAATAGTTTCCAAAGATGAATCGAATGCGAAGCGAATGCTATACGAGTTGTATCGTTTTATGATGTGGTTTTTCATTTTACTTTATAACATACAGCATTTGATTCGTGTAATTCAGGTATTTAAATAATAAATTTTCTGCAATGTCTTAGGTATAGTAATTCATGAAGTCGTCTGCGCGGGTACCTATGTCCCACTCGTGCTTCGTGTTTCAGTTATATGACAGTAAAATTATTGAGTATTAAGGCTTAACATTTATTCATTAAGAATTGTAACGTATGAAAAATAAGCATGGGTGTCACATTATATTTTGTGATATTTTTAGTTTTGTTCATGAACTTTCGTAGCCGACGGTAATCACTTTCCATTTAGAAGACCATTATTGGTTCGTTTGCTGTTTCAAATTACATAAATGCAAGTTTATTCTCTTGTTTACATAATAATCATAGTGATTGTCCTATCTGTGTAATGAAGGTTTCCCAATTTCTTAACGGTTGAAAGTTAAAGAGTGATCCCGCCTGTTCTATCAAAGCGATGATAGGTGTGGAAAGTCAGTTTGGGCCATCTTGACGAATTCAACAATAATTTAACACGGTTTCCAGGAGAACCGCGTGGAGGTCGACTTGTTATTGGATATTGCTAGCAGTGTGGCAGTTAGATCCCAATCTCTTTCCTCCCGACGATCTCTAGTAAGATTCTAGTTGTTACATTAAGATTATGTTCCTCAAAAAACCGACTTAAAATATTGCAAACCCAGTTATTTTGATTTCAAAACTAAACTACTACTTTTGATAAATTCCTCTGAGACTAATCTGTAAGTATAATATCCTTTCAGATAAAAAAAAAAGATTAATCGCGATCGTTTAAAGTGAACCTGATTTTAACGGCCCATTGCTGGCAATGGGTCACTAATATTTTTATTTATTTTGAAATCTGCAGACATTATTAGTAATAGACCCAATTATTAATAATTTCTCTCTCTCCCCTCCCCCACCGTTTGGATGGGCTTTACAGGTTCGACACAGTACTGAACAATTGGTGGATACGCTGTTCATTTTATTGACTACCCTCAACTGTCTGGGCAAGCAGGTCGCCTTCAACGCGAGGAGTGGACGTATTCATAAAATCATTGAGACCATTCAGGGTAATTCTATATAAGAATATTAAAAATGGTGTTTTTCATTATTCGATTGGCGAAATTGTAAAACTTAATAAATAGACACGATTAAATGTAGGTACTACACATATGTTTCTTACAAATAGAGATAGGTGCTTTATTTATAATAATACGTAGGTACCATGTTTACGTAGATATCTATCCAATGAAATGAATTTCTGATAATGTTACGGAATATTCCGATTTATTGGATTTACACATGCTGATAAAGGAAATCTATATAAATACGAGTACGTAGATAAATTAAACGACTAACACGATTTATAGAAATATAATAACACTCATGTATTTATTATTACGAGTATAATAATTGTTACAATAAATTAATAAGTTAAGCGTATAGAAAAATGTTTTCAATTCGCCTATATTTTTTTGTGCAAATTTCTCGAATTCGACATATGCCACGCAATTTTGATTATTCTATTTGATATCAACACAGTTTACTCCAGTCACAGATCAGTTATTTTTATGCATGATCCATTTGTTTCTGTGCAGAGTAAGACATTCAATTATATATTCAGTACTGAGCTTAGGTGGTCACTCAGACAAGCGGTGACCTCCGGGCTTCGAACTACCTTCAACACTCGGTGGGGTGCTGAGGCAAGGTCCAAAAGAGCCGCCGTGATCTAATAGAGGCGGTATAGAATAGCATTAAATTTGACCTTTCGAATGAAGTGAATAGCGCAGACCTCCAATGATATTTTTTTTTTGTCAGAGAAGGCACTGGGCATCGTCAACTTTTTGCTCAGGAGCATCTCAGTAAAAGGTGGTGAGCTCGATTCTTTTTACCTTTAAGATGGGCGCCGTTATAAACTTGCCCAGAGGAGCCAGATAGGTCTTAAATTAAATTAAAACTTATTGAGAATACTTTTAATATTTATCTCTTTTAGAATCAACATTTGCACCAACAAAGCCTAACCATCTGGACTTATTGAAGAAAAATGCAGTATCAATGTCACAAATATTGTCGTTTTATCAATGTGGCTGCTTGACTTGTGCTGCACTCTGGACAATTTTTCCATTCATAAATAGAGCAAGAGGCAGAGAAGTTACTTTTACAGGATATCTGCCATTCGATACAAGTGTTACAAGCACGTAAGATCTTTTTTAAAGATTGATAACGGTACGGTACATATCCACGCCTTAAATTGAATGTAAATAAAATTTTAATTAATGAGGAACCAGTAAAGGGTAATGAGTGAGGATAAAGTCATATTAGTCGGCCCAGTGTAACGAATTCACTAGAAATTAACCACGTTGGTTTCCAGAGTAAACCGCGAGGAGGATGACAGGGTATATTGTTAGTAATAGGGTTGCTAGTTAACACGAAGGGATTGATATTATCAATCCCTTCACCCCTGAATGTAACGGATAACTGCCCAATTAAATATATCTATATCTACCAGTGAAATTGAACATTTTCACTAATAAAACATGACCTGAAATACAAAAAAGTTTAGAGTCACTCATACTAATATGGATCATCCAGCTGTTTAGTTAGAATGGAAACTTTTCGTTGTCATATTTGTGATTATTATTATTATTTATAATTTCTGATTATTGAGGTTTCTATTCTAATAAATTCTATTCTAATAAAATAGGCAGTTACTAAGTTTTATGGACGGCTAACAACTTTAATTTCACTTTGTACCTGTATAAATTATTATTTTGTTTCAGTTTTTATTTAGCTCTAGCCTATATGTCTGTTTTAATTACAATCCAAGCCTTCGGCCACGTTACCATGGACTGTACGATAGTTGCATTTTATGCGCAAGCCAAAGTACAAATAAAAATGCTCCGGTATAACTTCGAACATTTTATGGATGCAGACGAAGAAAATATTAAAATAGATACGCAGATCACGGGGACAAATTATGAGCAGAACACTCATAAAGTTAATACGAATGATATAATAATTATGACACAAAAACGTTTGACTAATTATGTGGATCATTACGAGAAAATTGCCAGGTAAAAATATAAAATATGTTAGATGCTTAGGTTTAATTATGTATGTATCCAAAGATATACACAAAATATGAAAAATACTAAAAAATACTAACCTACTGGGATATCCCCAAAATAATAATATCACAAATTTTAATAGTAGACTAATTATGTGGATCATTATGAGAAAATTGCCAGGTAAAAATATAAAATATGTTAGATGCTTAGGTTTAATTATGTATGTATCCAAAGATATACACAAAATATGAAAAATACTAAAAAATACTAACCTACTGGGATATCCCCAAAATAATAATATCACAAATTTTAATAGGAGATTACATTATTGGAAACAAGACAGATACCTTTAATTAATTTGATTTTAATCGATATTTATGCTAATTTCAGTTTCGTAAAGGAGGTAGAGTCGATTTTCAGCGAAGCCATGATTGTACAATTCTTTGCAATGGCTTGGGTCATATGTATGACTGTCTACAAAATTGTTAGTGTAAGTGAAAATATTAATCATATAAAATAATATATTTCTATAATACAGCGTGAAGTGTCTCACAGATTTATGTTGTTTTTTTTTTATACAACTTAGAATTGTAAACAAGCTGACGGCCCACCTGATGGAAAGTGGTAACCGTCGCCTATAGACATGAGCAGTACCATGGACATAACAGAGTATACTGTAAATTCACGCCACATTCCATCAGAGGTACCCAAGCAATCGACTTTTGTACTAAGTCTCCCTCTAGTCTTTATGTATAATTTGATCTGTACTTTATACTATTTTATTTCACTTGAATTTCCCAATTATATATTTTTGTGGTTAGTGCAATAAAGAGTTAAATAAATAATAAATAAACCCATAATAACCAGGGCCGTGCCTGACGGGCGTTCATTGCGTGCACCGCACGCAGGCGGCCGAAATTAAGAGGCGGCCAAATCGTTACAAGTTGTTTACTGGGCAAAAATACAATCGGTTTGTTTTCATTAAGATACGAAGTTTGATGCCCTGTGTATAATAATAAACATTAAAAATTAAAGTAGTTTTTTTTAATGTTATTTAGGGCAATACAGACTGGCACGCAATATAATAACGGCCCTGATAATAACTACAACGTTGGAATCATTTGCTTATTGTAGTGTACGTACAGATATTTAGTTACTTACAATTTGTTTTATAAAACATTTTTTATATTACAGTTAAGTTTATTATCAGTGGAATTCATATCGATGGCTATGTATCTGGGTTGCATGTTGGGCCAACTTTTCATTTATTGTTATTTCGGAACTAAACTGAAAGTTGAGGTAGGTTGTGTATCTGCTTATATTGGGTGACTTGGATGTCGCTTGTATAATTTTATTAATGTGTAATGAAAAAAACATAATAATTAGCATACTTTTATATTACGCGTATATCTATGTTTTATAAGAGTGTTCTATCAGGGAAACTAAAGATTACCTCGAGAGAAAAGGGTAGAAGAAATGGTAAAAAATTTTAAATCTCATATGCATGATGTGACCAAATATCAAGTCAGTGTTAAATTTATGATTTAAAGTTTTTATTACGATATTTCTTACAAAGATTTAAAGTTTTCGTAAATATTCAGTTTAACTGGCAGACATACAATGTAACGACTCCTATTTCACCTACAGAGCTAACTTAGTGCGTAATGAAATTCTCTAATAAATCAACCGTTGTGTTGGACAGAAAAACTAAAGTAGGTATGGTAAAATTTATTTAGATTTTTAATAAATCCACAGAGTGAATTTATATGTCAGTCGGTGTACTGTGGGGACTGGTTGTCCCTGTCACCGAGTTTTCGTCGAAAACTGCTGGTATTTATGAGTTACTGCTCCAAACCTCTGGCTCTTCGCACCGCCTACATAATACCCATGTGCTTGGATACTTACATTGCGGTTAGTGTTGATATGCTACAGTGCAGTAAAATTAAATTGATATTAAAAAAAATCTAAATAAAAGCAGTCAAACCCATTTACTTGCCATATCGTGTTATTTTACTTTTGTTATGTTTAAAATTATTTTTTGCAGTTTTTATACTATATTTATTATACTTATACCAATTATATTTTTATTTAACCGCTTACCATCAGGTGGGCCGTATGCTTGTTTGCCACCACAGTGGTATAAAAAAAAATATCGCAAATTTTATTAATATTGTAGCATTAGTAAAATACAGCGATTAATTCATGCATACTCTGTAATAGGTACTTACAAGTATATTCCTTTTAGAAATACAAAAATCTTGCGAGTATTTACGAGTATATTTTATATTAGGGTCGAAGAGGTGTCATATTCTAAAAACTATAAATAACTTGTGAATAATAAATACGTCTAGATTCTAGACTCTAGATTTGTATAAATATAATAATTAATCAAGTACGATATTTTTATTCCTGTTATATAAAAATGTTTATTATTTTATGTTTATTTTTATTAAGAACTGTAATTATTAGCAGGAATAACAAATTTATTATTTAATGCATTAAATAGTCAAGTAATTTAAGTCAATAATCTAATTAATTCGTTTTTAACTTACAGGTGCTGAAATCCTCATACAGTCTCTTCACATTTTTAAATCGAAATTAGGTATAACTGAAAGGTACCCAGTTATTACTAAAATCAAACATGTTGTCTGCGTAGATATTCATCATTATCATATCAGCCATTCACTGTCCACTGTTGAACATTGGCCTCCCCTTTGGGGAGGGGAGTTTTTTTAATAGGTGATAATGGAATGGTAACCCCGCCTGCGCTGTCGGTATACGCTGGTGGGGCATCAGTGAGAGGCGATAGATGAGGATGATAAGGCAGGTCAGTTAGCCCGTCGCGAATTCCACTAGAATGAACGACGATGGTTTCCAGGGGGAACCACGTGAAGGTCGACCTGATAGAGTGTATTGCTGGCAATGGGTCAGTTAGACGCCATTACTAACTATCCCTTCCCCGATGAGGGGAGGGGTGCCCGTAGTTGCCACGCTTGACAGGCAGATTGGCAACTGCAGTTAGGTTTTAATGATGTTTTAAGAAAGACATTGCTGCTTCCCTCTCAACCATTAAGTTCCCTTAATCGCTTGTTACGACACCCATGGAAAGGAAGTGGTGCTCTATTCTATGCCGGAAGCTGCACGGTTACACGGCTTTTAACCTCATATTTTATTTTAATTTGATAGTTTCACGAAATTACTATTGTATGGATTATCATAAATTTATAATATTCTCGATCAAGACTTAGCACGACATAATTACAGGTAAATAGTACCTACATGCTTGGTTTTTATTGCCGACACGTTTCGACGTGGGTTGCACCACGATGTGGTCGTGTGAATTTAAATGTCAGTAAACGACGCGAAATTTTAAAATTAACTAAATTTATAAAAATAATTTTGACTTAAATCTATTAGAAAATTGGGTCATATTGATCATATGATAAAGATTTCAGTGGTATATCAAATTGAAATTTTAATTTTAGATATAGATTTAAAGAAAAAAACGGCTATCAACGGACTTTATTATAGAATAATATTTGTAGTCCTAATGATGGTAAAAAATAGAGCTTTTATATAAATTCTTTTATTAACATTTTTATAACTGTACTTATGTTATATATTTATGGAAATGAATTATTGATTCTAAGTTATTTGAATTTATTTAAATAAATGTAATTGTAAGTACTATGTTTTTTTATTATCACTTTAAGAGCACATATGTACTTGAAACTACATACACAAAAGTTACTTAAATCAGAAATCAAAAACGAAAAATAAAATTTTGAAGGTCCCACACTAACTTAACATTTGATCGCATCATGTTAGTATTGCTCAATTTTTTACCTTTTTCGACCTATGTTTCATTGGTGAATGAATATGTTTAGTCTCATTAGTAGAAAATTTTCTTAAAGAGATTATCTAGATCTACTTTTTATATATATATATATATATATATATATATATATATATATATATATATATATATATATATATATATCTTAAAAAATAAATTTGATAAAATATACTATTCATTACAGTATTAATTATTATGATTTTTTTTCTAATTTCATATTTCATGTAAATACAGAAGCTGAATGATATCAAATTTATTGTAGTTACATTCTTAATTAAACTATACCGTCCTGCTTAAATGGTGAACTAAGTATATTTTTAGGTGTTAATTAGACAAACATAATTTGTCCGTAATTAAAAATTTCATTATCGTCGAGCCGCATGCAAAGATAACTACATTTTCAGACATTTTTTCATACATTTAACTATATTTTAAACATACTAAATACTTTAAGATTTAGCTTTTAATCACAACTTTGTCTGTGTGACCGGGATATGTTGACTGATCGGTCTCCTACGTCCTACTCCATTTTTATTTATTTATTTATTCTTTGCTGCCCACATTAAAAAAAATGTCTGATGCAAAAGGCGGATTTAATACTATATAACATTCTCTCCCAGTCAATCTAAATAAAATATTCATCCTAAATAGAACCAAATTATATGATGATTGATTAAACTACTAAGGCGCTAAGAGATACAAACAAACTCACTTTCCCTTTAACTAATATTTTAGTTAGGATATGTAATTCAAATACATCTTCAAAAATATATTTTTTATTTGAATTTACTTTAAATTATTATTACACAATATGGGGTCAGATCCTTTATGCTATTAAATGACTAAGTATAACGTCCCACTGTCAAGAGCGTCGATCTCTATATTAGATAAAATTTGTATAGGTATGCGCTAAGCTGCTGGGAGAAAACTTTTAATATTATTATTTTTTTAAATTAGATTATAATAATCCTTATTACATAAAAATAGAATCGAATTGAGAATCTTTTCCTTTCTGAAGCTGGTGTAAAAGACATAAAAAGTAGTCAGTCAATATCTGTACTTTAACATAAAAATAATAAGAAATTAAAACATATTATAGGCGTATGAATTTTTAACGAACTGTCAAATTATAGCCCTAGGTTGGACTATATAAATCACGACTTTAGTTTAAGGCTAACGATGGCTAAATATTTCGTATCAGAAGCGTTTGGTCCGCATTTAAGAGCGCTCGCAAGAGTAGCTTATTTCAAAATTGTTTCCAAAGATGAACCACTCGCAAAGCGTTTTTTATACAAATTGTATCAATATATTATATGGTTTTTAATTTTTCTCTACAACCTACAGCATTTGATTCGTGTAGTTCAGGTATCTATTAGGTTTTGGTTAATGTAATTTAATATATTTACTAAGTTATATTTAAAGACTGTCAAGATACATCGCTTTCAATAAATGAATCAGATTGTACTTAATTGTTATAATATGCTATTGTATTATTGATACTTAATTCAAGATTATTGTTTTACATACAAAAAAAACAAAATTGTGGAATATAAGAGTACCTATATACGTATTATTACAAGCAGGTGTATTGTATCAGAAATGTAGATATGAGTATTTCCTGTTTACTTATATTACGTACTAATTTTATTAATGCACAAACTTTTCAAACTCTATTTTACAAACTTTTCTAATAGGTATAAAAAACTAGCTAAAATTGTTGCAAAACTCGCAACTTCGCGTGCGTTGATTTTGAACCAACGAAATATGAGTAGTTCATTTCTAAATGGCGTATTAAGATGAAATTCACACCAGTCTTTAATATAGAGTTTTAGGAGCACAATAATTCGGTAGCAAAAGTAGTTTTTGGGTGATACCGGAACAAATATATATACCTAGAGACAGACAATAATTCATATTGTTTGCCTTCTATTGCTCTAATAATCTCTCATATATTTTTTTCCATATTTAAATATCTCCAATGTACAGACATGGTATAGTTACCATTTTTATTATTGTATATAGCTAAAAAATAATTTATTTATTTAATATTTAAAAACTAAAATAAGAAATCCTCAAATTTTGTTATTCTAGGTTTAAGACGCGTAATGGGCACACTCGGCCACCTATTGTTTTATTTTTTATGTACTGACTTATTCTCGATCATTATTTCTTTTCATATAAATTGTTGTTACAATAAGGTAATTAATAATTAATATAATTTCCTCTTCCTAGTACAGCATTAAAGTTCCATTATCGTATAAGTATAAAGCGTATAAAGAAATAAATAAAAAAATATACAAATTAACAGTTATAAAGATTTAATTACTAATTTTACTGTTAAAATTAGTAAGTTTTAAAATAAGTACTATCTTTAGTTTTAAAACTCGACCTAGTTTTATTAACACAACATAATTTTATCATAAAATTACGTGACGATAAACTAAACCATATAATGAGATTAATAGGTTCGAAACAGTATTGAGCAGTTGGTGGACACGCTGTTTATTTTGTTGACTACTCTCAACTGTCTGGGCAAGCAGGTCGCCTTCAACGCAAAGAGCCAACGTGTTAAAGAAATCTTTAATGTCATTGATGGTAAGTAATTTATCGAAAATATTGATTAATTTCTATATATGTAACTCTGTTTGAAGGGGACTATATAATGTAAATTTAAATTGAATATTCTCGTTAAGTGGAAAATTTTTATTTTTAAATTTCTAGGACCAGTTTTCGCGCCGACAAAACCTCATCATCTTGAAGTGATGAAGAAAAATACAGTATCAATGGCACATCTATTGTTAATATATCAATGTGGCTCTATGTTTTGTGTTTGTCTCTGGTTTATTTTTCCATTTGTGAATAGAGCATTGGGCAAGGAAATTGCATTTACAGGCTATCTACCATTCGACGCAAGTGAATCTCCAGCGTAAGTTTTCTACCATCTATATTACTTATATTTTTAACCAAATTTTGGGTTTCTTTAATGAAATAAATTTTCAGAAGACCCATATAACGTAAGAATATGCTTAGATACTTACGTATTTTTCTCCAACCAAAATTAGACACATTTCTTGCTTTTGCTTGATCGACTTGATTTTAAAAAGTGTAATAATATCTTCACCTATTTTAAATATTTAGTTATATTTTTACATCCGTTAAATCAAAGGTTTTCGTTTTGAAAATTGTATTCCAGTTTCGAGCTAGCTGTTCTTTACATGACGTTTACAATCGGAATTCAAGCATACGGCCATGTCGGTATGGATTGTACGATAGTAGCACTCTACCGACAAGCCACGGTCCAAGTACAATTGCTCCGATACAATCTGGAACATCTCATGGATACAGATGACGAGAATGTAAAAATAGAAGCGAGGATTATTACCAAGACAAATAACGAACGGCACGTTAACAAAGACAATACGTATGATCCATCAGATATGATACAAAGACGATTAGTGGACAATGCTAATCATTATAAGACAATTGCCAGGTAACAAATATTGTTAGAGGATTTTAGTAGATGAAGTTTTTTTAAGAGTAAAGATGATGCAGTGCACTCGTCAGTACAATGGCATAAATAGAGAATAAAACGATGAAGGTGTAATCAGGCTAGTTAGACCATTATAGCTAATTCACTCGGAATACACCCTGGAACTCACTAATAAACACTAAGTACTACAAAATATCAGTCTGTGGTGTGAACCTAGATTTTCTTTTATTCTTATAACCAGTAACTCTGATTGACTCTTTATTAATGATATTTTTATAATATTAAATAAAAGTAACATTTTCCTTTCATTTTACGCCTATGGTAGCAGTAAGATGGCTCTATATCTACTAATAAAGACTTCTTACTAGTAAAGACAGAGAAAGTAAATAAATCTTACAATGAAAGGCTCTCGAGAGCCTTTCTTTGTAAGATATAGATCACCAGGATCGATTCTGAAGCGCCATTTCTTTAAAATTATTTCTAAAATTCCAATTTCATTGGATATCATGCCAAAAATTTTATTGTAAACACCAATATGAGCTAATTTTCTAATAAATTGAAGTCAAAATTATTATAATTTTAGTATATAGTGGTCTATAAAATAGTAATTTCGCAAAATTATCGAATTAAAATACTTGATTGAGATAAAGATTAAAAAATGGCGCTTGGAATCGGCGCTAATGTAACAAAGTTTTACTTTTTACATTTTACTCCTAAATACTACCTAGTGTTTATAGTTATACATAAAAGTGTACTTGTTTTATTTTTTTTTAATAAGGAAAGATGAAAAATATATGAATATGAATATAAATGATATAATATGAATCACAAAATTTTTACTTCGATTGACGTAGAAATCCATAAAAAATGGATAGTAAATTCTGTGACGCCAAAACGACCGTCATCTTAAAAATGAATAAGCGCGAACTACGTTAAAACGATGTGAGATGTGAATCATCATTGCACCTTCTCTTTAAAATGAACATATCAATTTTTATTTATTAATTCAGTCAGATTGATGACAATGTATGAAACATGCTATAAGGAACATTAAGATTTGTTAATGCTAATTTGTTTATGACAATTACTACTTAATGTGATTATAGGAATTTTTATTTTTAATCAGATTTCACGATAAAGATAATATTTTGCTTAGATATTTTGATGTAATGATATTTTTTGTTCTCAATAATACTAGACATCACAATAATTTTAGAAATGCACAAACGATTCATATCTACCTAAAAATAAATTTATGGGCGTTCTTTACTTTTATTTATTAATTATGGTAATAATATAATTAATTAATTATTCGTATTTTCGTAATAATTTCAGTTTTGTAAAAGAGGTAGAGTCGATTTTCAGCGAAGCCATGATTGTTCAATTCTTTGCGATGGCTTGGGTCATATGTATGACTGTCTACAAAATTGTTAGTGTAAGTGAGAATAAATCTACTTCTTAAATATAGATTGAAGATAGTTTACCGTAGATTTACGTGACCAGTTTACTGTTTATCCAAGATAAACTTTATAAAACGTGTTTCTGCTGTGTGTCAGCTGTGGTTTGTATCGCTTTGTTTAGATTTTAAGGGTGGGACATGGGATTGAAATTACAGGGTATGGAGGTATAATGTCATAACCATTGAGGAGCCATGGGTGTTATTCTATGATATCCATAATGTAGTCATGTTTATCAGTGACGGTTATCACTTCTCATCAGGTGGGCCGTCAAATTGTCTGCTATTCTAAGTATTTAAAGAAAAAAAAAATACTATAGTATGTCTTGTTAATTTTAAGAAGGCTTTTCTTCTAAAACAAAAATCGTAATCTGCATTGTATAACCCAGTATATAAAAATTTCAAATTTATTACTAATTTGGGATCATATCACAGAGTATTTAATTTTAGATCACTAAACTAAAAGTAAGCTACAATGTTTGAATCTTTTGTTCATAGCAGTTTACGTACAGATGCTTATTTTTTTATGAACTATACTTCATATTGCAGCTGAGTATATTATCGGCGGAATTCATGTCGATGGCTATGTACCTGGGTTGCATGTTGGGCCAACTCTTTATTTATTGCTACTTCGGAACTGAATTAATAATGGAGGTAGGTTATCTAATTATTCATATTGGGCGATATATGGATTTCACATGTATGTTTATAGCAAAGATTTCGTAATTTTTTGTTCTTAGGTTTACAGTGTGTAAGACAGAGGTTGCCAGTTTGCCTGTCAAGCATGGCAGCTACTGAAATAATAAAAAAAACCCATAGACCTATGTTCATCAATGAACAAGTAACGGCTGATATGATGATGAAGGTAGAAGTGGTAAAGGCATATTTATAAAGGGACCGGGTGCGGGGTGCCAACGCCAGAATTGTCTGCCCACCCCAGGATGAGAACGTAGCTTTCTACTACGAACAAAGACATGTTTAAGCGATATACAAGAAGGAGGTTCTCAATTCGGTTGAATTTTTTTATGTTTGTTACCTTATAAGTCCGCTAGTTGTAACCCGATTTGAGAGACTTTTTTATCTGACAGAATATATTTGCAGATTAGTCCCTTAGAAATTTTATCAAGATTGAATTATTAGTTAAGTTATGAAATGATGTTACAGAGGAATAGCACCTGAAGACTCAGGAATGGTAACGCATGGGGGGTATGGGGGGTATGGCATGGGCGAAACAGTATACTCTGTTATGTCCATGGTACTGTTCATGTCTATAGGCGACGGTTACCACTTTCCATCAGGTGGGCCGTCAGCTTGTTTGCCATTCTAAGTTGTATAAAAAAAATTAAAATTATGATAACACCATTTAATTATTTTCAATTGACTTTTAAACAATTCACAGAGTGAATTCATATGTCAGTCGATATATTGCGGTGACTGGTTGTCTCTGTCACCGAGTTTCCGTAGAAAATTGCTGTTGTTGATGAGTTACTGCAAAAGACCTTTGGCTCTTCGCACCGCCTACATAATACCCATGTCATTGAATACTTACATTGCGGTTAGTATTGATATATTATAGTAAAATAAGTGATCACTTGATTTTATTTGCCTTATACTATAATTGTTATTATTATTGCATTTGTTAATCCTATTCTTCCATACAATGCCAAACTACTTTTGTAATTTTTGCATATAAATATGCAAAAACGTAATCGTAATTGATGCGTTGTATTAATAAAATACTGCAATTTCTTTTACGCGTTATTTATAATATCAATATACCACCTGGTGGGAATAAAAAAAAATTATGCAAATACTTATAAGTATGTGTTTCTTTTTTATGGGATGAAATTGAAATGGTAACCCTGTCTACACTATCGATATACGCTGGCGGGGGGAGGGTACCACTGATCGGCGATAGGTAAACAAAATCAGGTCAGTTGGACCACAGTAGCGAATTCACTACGCGTTAACCACGATGGTTTTCAGGTGTTCCTATCACGTGGCTTTCACGTGGAGGTGAACCTGATAGGATATATTGCTAATGATTGGGACTAAGGACTAATTCCTTCAAACAATTCATTTAACTGACAATATTAATAATGAATCAATACCTATATTATTTTTTGGTCATATTATAATATTTATTACCTTGTGTAATAATTATTATAATATGATAAAATTATTAAATTAAATTTTGATTCTAGTTACGTTAAAATTATTATTATTTTTTATTTATTTTAGTAAAAATTGTAATTAAGAATAAAAATTATATTTAACGTTTTTCATTTTAATAGTTAAATAATATAAATCACTTAGGTAATTAATTTGTTTTTAACTTACAGGTGCTGAAATCCTCATATAGTCTCTTCACGTTCTTAAATCGGAACTAGGTATAACTGAAACGTACCTAGGTTTACTTACTTAGTTATTACTACAATCAAACATGTCTACGTAGATATTCATTAGGCTTTACCTTCGGGGGGGAGGGGGGGGGGTTGCCAGTACTTTCCACGTTTGGCAGACGGATTAGCAACCGCAATTAGGTATTAATGATGTTTTAAGAAGGACGCTGCTGCCCATCCCTCGATCATTAAGTTTCTTTAATCACTTCTGAAGTGTTGGCTTATTCTATGCCGGGGCACACGGCTTAGAAAGAACACACAGATATTGTGTATTAATAAACATTTATATAATTAAATATATCATTGATATTATTTTCAGTAACATAGTAATAAATATATAAATTAAGTAGATATTATGTAATTATATTTGTCCTCCCAGTGATTGTAAAACATATTGCTTTATATATTTACATATAAAATCGTTTGTAGACATTTATTAAATACATTTTTAATTGATCGCTTATTTTATTTTTATTGTATCTTGAATAAATTAAAAAATACGTACGAGTATGCGCTGTTGTATTGTCATAATATTGAATACAATATACAAACGTAGTTTTTTGTAATCATTATATATTGTAAACTATTTAAATACGGAAGGCGGAAAACAAGCAGCGGTTTTCTCTTACTGCTTTGTACTCGTTGAATTCAGAAGTAGGAAAATAAGTTATATCTAATTTTGTCATTTAGAAAACACAGTAGTTTTTATGTTATGCCAGTATAATCATCATCATCGCCCATGATAATGGGCGAGGCGAATCATAATATAATCTGTTATATCCATGGTACTTTTTTTTTACAACACAGGGGGCAAACGAGCATGCGGCTCACCTGATGGTAAGTGACTACCGCCGCCCATGATCACCCATAACACGAGCGGCATTGTAGGTGTGCTGCCGGCCTTTTATGGCTGTCTAGAATGGACGCCGTAGATTCAAGAGTCCCAAGACGGTTACCATTTTCCATCAGGTGGGCCGTCAGCTTGTTTGCTATTCTAAGTTGTATAAAAAAAAAAAAAAAAAAAAGATCATACAGAGAAACAAAATTTCTAAAAAATATTATTTTGACTTTCAAGACTCCCATTTTTTAAAATAATTTTCATATTTCGTAGGCTCATTTCCTAAAAAATACCAAAATCATTGTAAATACGTATTTAATTAAATTGAACTGTGAACTATTTTTATAAATGTGTGGGTGTTAATTAGACAAACATTATAAATTGTCCGTAATTAAAGTTTCGTTAATGAGTCGCTTGTAAGGATAGCACCTCTAATACAGATTACATTTTCAGATAGAATACAGTATGACACATTTTTTTGTATTCTTAATTATATTTGAAACGTTTTGATTTTATATATATATTAGCCGGCCTGCGCTAACGGTATGCACTGGCGAGACACTGCTGAGGGATGATAGATGAGAATGAAAAGGTAGGTCAATTAGCCTATCGTGACCAATACATCTGGAATTCAAGACGATGGTTTCCAGGAGTGCTGAGGAGTTTCGTGGAGGTCGACCTGAGAGGGTATATTGCTGGCAATGGGACTGATAGTCCGCATTACTAACAATACCTCCCCCTGATTTTTATATTAGGAACTAGTTTTTATCTACGGCTTAGTCTCTGTGGTTGGAATATGTTAATCGATTATTATAGGAAATTTAACGATGATCGGCTGATATAGTGCCAAAAGATTAGCACAAATACATAAACTCACTTTTACTTTACAATATCAGTTAAGGGTCGTAATTTAAATAAATTTTTATTTACCTCAAATTATTATTGACTTAACACAGTATAGGGTCCGATCCTATTTGCCAATAAATTAGTAAGTATGTAAAGAAATAAATTAATAAATTATTATTTCTTACTCACATTTAATACAATAAAACTGTAACTAGAGGTTGTCTGTAGGATATGGCAGATATTTAAGAAATATTAATATGATTGATAAGATAATTTTTGCCTACTTGTCTGAATGTTTGTTCTGGCATTACGCAAAAACTACTATACCAAATTACATTTGATTTTCATAGTTCTGTTGCCAAAAATGTGATTTAAAATCTGTTTTTTTTTTCTATCTCGTTACGCCACCTACAAGTTGTTTCTTACTTCCAAAATCCATGTCTACGAAGTTGCGGGCTAAAGTTAGTATTTCATATTTTTTTATGAGAGCAACACTAGACTATGGGTGTAAACTGCTTCTATTAAAACAATATTTTTAAATGACTTTAGGATTATTGAAAATATAGCCAAGTGAACATAAAACAAAAAATTAATACACGCTATAGGTACGTGAATTTATAATGAACAATCAAATTATAGCCCCAAGTCTAAAGTACCATACTATATAAATCACGATTTTAATTTAAAGTAGGTAAATGATGGCTAAATATTCCGTATTAGAAGCCTTCGCTCCGCATTTAAAAGCACTCGCAAGGGTAGCTTATTTCAAAATTTTTACCAAAGATAATTCGACCGCGTATCAAATTTTATACAAATTGTATCAATTTATTATATGGTTTTTAATTTTTCTCTATAACCTACAGCATTTGATTCGTGTAGTTCAGGTATCTGCTAAGTTTTGGTTAATATATTATCTATTAGATGAATGCTTCGTTTTATAGACTTGAGGCAGTCTGTTATGGTAGAAACCGTTCTTCTCATTATCTACATATCGAAGAATGAATCAGATATCAGAATCAGTTCATAAGAGACAGTATTAACGCGATCATTTTGATACACTATGATAATTCCCGGTTTTTTTAAATTTATATTTAATTTCATAATAATATTACTTTAAGATAAACTAAATTATTTGATGGAATTTCTAGGTTCGACACAGCACTGAGTAGTTGGTGGACACGCTGTTCATTTTGTTGACCACCCTCAACTGTCTGGGCAAGCAGGTCGCCTTCAACACAAAGAGCCAACGTATTAAAGAAATCTTTGACATCGTTGATGGTAAGTATTGCACATAAGAATGATGAGTTTGTATCCAATTCTGTTTGTATGGGACCTTTGAAGGAAGACACAGGCTATACTTAGAAAATATTAGTTAAATATGACCGTGTGGTCCCGGCATAGAACCACCCCTAGGCCACCCCTTCCTTTTCCGTAGATGTTGCAAGAGGCGAATAACGGAGAATGAGGGATGGACAGCAGCGTCTCTCTCAAGGGGGAGGTTTATGTTCAGCAGTGGACAGTTAAAGGCTGATAGTAATGATGATGATGATGATGATAATATTAACCTTTTGCACTCCAGTCTAGTAATAGATTATACCTTAACTCACATAGACAATACGACACATAGATTAACTGATTAAGTTATCAATAATTTATTATAATGTTAATATATAATAATAATAATAATAATTTATTTATTTGCTCGAAATGTGGTAATATGTAATGGTCTTAAATATAATTGATCTACACATTTCGCCTTATCTAAAGGCATGCAAATTTAGTATTATAATTTAGTGGCTTACGTATATTAATAGCCTAGTAGGATCAATCCATAATAAACATATAATAAATACTAAAAGATAAACGCAGACGATTTTGCTTACGTTTGTATTAAGGGCGCTAAGTTAGTAAAACAACCGTTTTGCCGTAGCCGCGACAGTGGATTTAATGTTAGCATTTTAATGTCGCAAATACGGCGACAATGGCGTGCAATGGGTTAAATATACAGTGTCATTGAATAAAATAATTATTATACCTATATTTCTAGGCCCCATTTTTGCACCGACTAAGCCGTACCATCTCGAAGTTCTGAAGAAAAATGCAGTATCAATGGCACATTTGTTGTTAATATACCAATGTGGCTCTATGTTTTGTGCTTTTCTCTGGTTTATTTTTCCATTCGTGAATAGGGCATTAGGCAAGGAAATTGCATTTACAGGCTATCTACCATTCGATGCCAGTGAATCGCCAGTGTAAGTTTTTTAATACTTAGTAATATTTTTATACTCATGACATTCATTTTTGGACATAGTATTATTATCTATAATAAAGTTAAGTTATTGTAACTTTACACGCGTTATGCAAAAACTACTAGACGGATTTGGATGAAATTGAATATAATGATGACTTAGTACTTAGTTCAAAAGAGGTATAAGATAATTTTTACTACGGAAAAATGTTTTATTCCATAGGAAAATATGTAAAAATAAAGTCTTGTGAACGATATCTTTTATAAACGTAATAGTGTGTTTGTCACATGGAATTTGATTTTTTTTTATACAACTTAGAATGGCAAACAAGCTGATGGCCCACCTGATGGAAAGTGGTAACCGTCGCCTATAGACATGAGCAGTAGTACCATGGAAATAATAGAGTATACTGTTTCGCCCATGATACCCCCATGCGTTGCCATTCCTGAGGACTAATCTAATCATCATTAAATCTACCATAATGTGTTTATTTAGCATGGGAAAGAACATAAATTATTAGTGGATAGTGATGCGGATGAAATTGCAGGCATAGCTAGTTAGTATTGTAAGTATTAGTAATATGAATGAGTTAGTTATTTCAAAACTGTTATTTTTATATCACTAATATTAGTTAGGTTATATTTATATATTTTTTAAACTAATAGAAATTTCATTAGATACCGTCACTTACTTAGGCCATAACTTACCCCTGTATCAAATTTCATTTAAACCCGTTCAGTAGTTTTTGCGTGAAATAGTAATAAACATCCATCCGTCAATCCTTGCAAATTTGCTCATTTATTGTATAATTGTCTAGAGGCCCTGATAGGGTATATTGATAGCAATGGGGACTAACTTCCTCATTACTAACAATCCCTTCCCCCCATCCTAGATATTAACATCACATATCAGGTGAGGTGAGATAAAACGTAAATGCATCTCGTAATAAAAAAATAAATAAATTACACTTATTAAGAGGCTTTCAAAAACTATATATTAAATTAAAAAATATTTTAATTTATATTATTACTATAATTGCATAATAACAATGGTTGAAATGAAATGAAACGCATATATTGTTAATGTTAATTATTCCACATTGAAATCCGCTTTCAATATCGTTTCGTTTCCAAATTAATTTTGTAATCGGTTTAATTTATAAATTGAATGCTCCCGAAATGTTTATGTTAAATGTACATTAATTAGAATAATTTTTGCTTTAAATTCAAATGAAGTCATCATCATATAATATATTTTAGTAATACAATGCTTTGTTAGTAATACAATATAAATAGGATAGGATTAAGTAATAAAAAAAAAACTTGAAAAATAGGTAATATGTTTTAGCTTCGAGGTAACTGTTGTTTATATGAGTTTGACAATTGCAATTCAAGCTTACGGCCATGTCGGTATGGATTGTACGATAGTAGCACTCTACCGACAAGCCACGGTACAAGTACAATTGCTCCGATACAATCTGGAACATCTCATGGATACAGATGACGAGAATGTAAAAATAGAAGCGAGGATTATTACCAAGACAAATAACAAACGGCACGTTAACAAAGACAATACGTATGATCCATCAGATATGATACAAAGACGATTAGTCGACAATGCTAATCATTATAAGACAATTGCCAGGTAATAAATAAAAATTTATTTTTTTGCAACTTAGAATGACAAGCTGACGGCCCACCTGATGGAAATCATTACCTATAGATATGAACAGTACCATAGACAAATACCACATACATAGAGTATACGGTCACATGAAGGGTATCACCCATGATACCCTTCATGTGTTGCCATTCCTGAAGACTAAGATGTTATGCACTGCACTCTGTAATTAAATTTCTGTAGGATATCTACATTACAAGGCTCACATTACACAACACATCCTTGGAAATGCAACTGCTTCATGACAGAAACACATAATTATTCTTATATTTAAGAAAAATAAAAATTTGTGTATAATTCGGTTGCAAAATTTTTACTTCTATGTACAATGATATACATGTACGAGTATGTTCTATGATAAAAAAAATTGGTCGGTACGCCGGGCGGCGCCAAGATGGGCGGCATAAAAAAACAAATGAAAAAAGCGCGAACTATGCCAAATTGACGTGAAATATGAATCATCACAATCATTTCACCTTCTCTATGAAATGAACATATCAGTCCATTCAACCAGATTCTTAAATTATTTTAAACATACAAAATTGATTGAGTTGATGACTAAAGTTCATAAGATTAACTACCTACTTTGTTTTAGATCAGATTTTAAGTGAAAAAATAAAATATCTAGTTCAATTTGTGCCCCTAATAAAATTATAATAATAACTATTTACAAACACAAAATAAATATTTACTTTTATATATTTGTATGATTGATTAGTTATATTTAATTATATTTTTAAGCATCAAGTTATTTGTATATTTTCACATAAATCAATGAGATAAATATTTATGCACTTAACTAATTAGTAACAATAATGATATAAGACTATATTAAGCATATAATTAACTATAATATATATTTACATAATCATTTCAGTTTCATAAAAGAGGTAGAGTCGATTTTCAGCGAAGCCATGATTGTACAATTCTTTGCGATGGCTTGGGTCATATGTATGACTGTCTACAAAATTGTTAGTGTAAGTGGAACGTTTTATATTTTTTTATAAGGTTAAATAATTAAAATTAATATAATATTAATATTACAATAATAATAATTTTTTATTTGACAATTTTACTAGATTGTAGACTTTTATGTTCTTTCTTTTTTTTCTTTCGAGTTTTACGTAACGTAATAACACGTGTATGTTATGACAGGCGTAAAATTGTAAGCCACGACGAATACTAGAGACAGCAGAGAATGTGAAATCTATGATTTTATAAATGCTATTGTATAATGTATTTATATTTATTTGTGTGTATTTTTCTGATTTTGTACCTGTATTTGTATGAAAATAACTGGGCAAGCTACCTGATAGAAAACAAATAAAACAGATAAAACACGAATAAAACCATAGTCTTATTTTGCATTACAGCTGAGTATATTGTCAGCAGAATTCTTGTCGATGACTATATACCTGGGTTGCATGTTGGGACAACTGTTTATTTATTGCTACTTCGGAACTGAACTGAGGATTGAGGTAGGTTCTTTGTGAATTCTGTATGACTACTTAAACTGTTGTTTACATCGAATTTAACGCATTATACAGGTGTCATCATTAACTTCTTTTTAAGTCTCTTATCAGTGAAATTAAAATTATTTTCCAATGAAACAGCATAAAATAGTAAGTGGATGCATATATTAGTATTTTTTTATGCTATAGAGTTGGCTAAACAAACATACCTACCTGATGGTATTCTATTATCATAGCCTATGAACATCAGCAACACTAGAAGCATTACACGTGCGTTACCGACTCTAAAGAATTCTCATTACCCATTTTTTTAAGAAACTTATGCTGTAATCACTTGGAAAAACATCGAAAAGGATCTCATTCCACTATCTGATCGTCCATAAGAGAAATTACGATTGAAATGGCGCTGTACACGAACCGCATGATTTTTATAAGTTTAATGTTTTGATAATTAAGTACTTTGTAAAAATCCACAGAGTGAATTTATATGTCAGTCGGTGTATTGCGGAGACTGGTTGTCCCTGTCACCGAGTTTTCGTCGAAAACTGCTGGTATTTATGACTTACTGCTCCAAACCTCTGGCTCTTCGCACCGCCTACATAATACCCATGTCATTGAATACTTACATTGCGGTTAGTATTAGTCATAATATAGAAAAAAAAAAAACAAGAAACAATTAATTCTACTGAATGAATTAAACATACCAGTATATTCTGTGATGTCCAGCCTATGGGCAATGGTTATCATTTTCTAAAAGGAATGTTAAAGGTCAGTCAAAATACCATATCGGATAGCTATATTTCTTACTTCATTTATTTTTATAATTTCTTAAGTGCAATCAGAAATTTAATATAATTTATGATTTTATAATATTTGGTTTATCTATTCAATATTTTATCATCCGATTTGTTTTCTCCACTAGAAATGTTGTTAATTGTTTGAAGTTATATATAGGCTTTTGATTCTATTTTTTCTTACAATAAGTATGCGTATATTAAACTTTTTTTTAATTCTTTGTAAGTTCTATAAATTTGCTTACCTTACTCACTCGCTCTTCGATTTACTTTGATACAATAAAAAATGCAACTACAAATCCTAACATAGGTATTTAGATATACGGGATAATTATTATAATCCTTTTAAGGATGTTTTCTAACAGTGAAAGTGATTTTGATCCTTAGTTTTACATATAGCTTACAACTTCAATTTCACCTTGTATAAAAAATTCTGTTTCCCGCTATACACGTTATGTTTTCTCCTTACGGTTCGAACTATACCGACGAAATTTAATGATTTTGTTTATGATTACAGGTGCTGAAATCTTCGTACAGTTTATTCACCTTTTTGAATCGATAGTAAGAAGATTAATGAATATATCTATAAAAAGAAAAGTAATTTGACAGATAATTATAACATTGCCATATATATATATATATATCTTTCTTACATATAAACACTAAAGAAATTTTGACATATATATATATATTTTAGTTTAAAATTAAAAGTTTAAAATTAAAACAAATAAATTTGAAATTAAAACTTAAAAACTTGAAATTAAAACTTAAATAAACATAAAATTAAAGTGACTTAAGTAATTTTAAAATACCAAAACTATAGTCGTACATGTAAGTAAGTGAATACAATACAGGCAAAACAATATACGTTTAGTGGGCCAAATTATTTAGCAACGGTTTCTGGAGCGAAACTAGTAAACTATCTGTTCGCTCGTAAAATTTACCACTGTTTAATTATCGCCTGTATCTCGGTGTAAAATATTGTATATTGACGGATACGTAATATAATACAGAAATTTTACATACACGTGAGTGTCTGGTCTTCTACTTCATTATTTTCTGCGTGCTAATAGAAATACTGGTTTATCCTTACCAATCAAATATAATTATGAAAGTGTGTTTCCTTTCTTCCTTGTAATATATGAAGGGTTCAATCAATCAAAGAATGAAAAAGGCCATAGGCTATTTGCTACTGTTTCAACCGACTTGAAAAAGAAGGAGGTTCTGAATTTGGTTGTATTTCTTTTAGTTTTATTTCCTCTTAACTCCATCAGTTGTAAACCGAATCTGAAAATTATTTTTATATCTGAAAATATATACTGAAATATACACAGAAATTTTATCAAAATCGGTTCAGTAATTTAGTTTTTAAATAAAAATAACTGCATTTGTCACAATTGCAGTCAGTTTTTTTTTGTGTAACATAACTTTAACTATTGTCAATTAACACGTCGAGGGGGGTTAAAAGCTCGCTTTACACGAAACATAATACATAGAATCGGCTTTGCATAATTCGCCGAATGTAATAAACCTCTCACGTTGAGGGCGTAGTATTAATGGATTAATACATTTACATTGGCGGATTATACAAAGTAAATCCATCTATTATGATTCGTGTAGGTACAATTGCATCTTTAATCACCCACGTCACACGAATGAACTTGCGAGTAAAGTACTAGTATATCGTATATAACTCGTAAAAGCTGTTGCCCGCGGTTTTGAATGCGTGGTGCTGTGTTTCTTCTTAAAATTGAATTATATTGTCGGTTAAAAAGTAAACCTATACTAACCTATCCAAACTTCAGTTTTCTACATTTAATAGTTTTGGCTGTGTGTTGAAAATCAGTCAAGATAACCGATTTTTAAGTATAGAATCTGCAAGAACATGTAAAGTATAATTGGACTAAATTTACAGATTAAGTTTGCCATAGGTAATTAATTTATTATTAATATTATAGTAATTTTTACCCACGACGAAGGCAATGTGATTTATTGGTAATTTAATCTATAATTCTTTTGTAAATTTGGAAGCGTATGGACAAGATAAGATAAGGTTATTTTGTAATTGTACACATTTACGAACAAATATTATCATAGATTAAGGATAGTATTTTTTTTTTTTAATTTATAAAGTAATTGTTAACAATGGTTTGAACCTTGCAAAATTGTTACATCTCATGAAATCCTGGAAGAGTATAAAAACTCATGAAATATTTTTTTATTTGAAGAATCTTAGTACAGTTACATATGCAAATTAAAAAAAAATACACATAACTCTTCTGTTTCCAAGTTAAATACTGATAACTCCTTTAAGGGATGAAATTTTCAAAATTTAAACTTCGTTTTCTACTCTACCGTGAAAACTTGCAAATTATAATTTCAGTACTATCCAGTTAGCTGATGAGTTAATCAGTCAGGGGTTACTTTTTTATCACATAAGTGCCCATAGGTAATTAATATACATATATTGTAGTTAATTACGAGTATAAGCCGATAAGGGAAGTTTTTCAAGTTATACCGCCAGTTTAATTCGAAGAAAAATTATCTTTAAAGTTGCAATTCCAATGTCGATTTGGTGAACATAAACTGTGCGGACGCGCGTTGCTCTGTTGTGTAGGTTAGGTAGGTACCTATTGTCGGAATCTGTAAAGAAATAAACTTTCGGGCCATCTAAAAATATATTTTATCTTCTATCATTTATCCGCTGTAGCATTCTTGTAAGCTTGTAAAATAATTATTTTAAGCACCGTATTTTTGAGTGTATCGTTTCAAGTTGTGTTCGATCCGTGCGGGCGCCGACGTTGACTCACACAGACTCCGGCAGACAATCGAGGAAGGAGCCCGGAGTCCGCCTCTTCAGTGCTCCGTACGACGTAAGTGCTGAAAGTCGTGTAAAAAGTTGTATCCGGCCCTGAATACCGCGCGAGGAATTCTGTTTATAAATACGCGAGTGGCGAAACGTCGCACTGGTGTGGAGAGGAGCGGCAAGTGTGGTGTGCAGGTTCGTCGGGAGTACTCCAGCGGCGACTAGTGGCGTAGGGCTCCGGCGACCGACGTCGGCGCAGCAGCGGCCGAGATGCGCGGGCGCCGATGATATTCACGGGCGGGGGGGCGCGCCGCCGGACATCGCCCGCGCCGCGCCCGCCGCCCGCCGTGCGTCCGTCCGCTAACCGCTACCGTCCCAATGCTATTAATGTGAGTGAGTCCCCAAGAATTAATAGACAAATTAAAACGTTGACACTCGTCGGATTGACGAACTAACTGCTTATATTTTTTCATCAGAAACTGTTTTCAAGTGTTTGAAACATTAATAATTTATTTGCTCATTAATTCAGCTGCGTTTATTGCTTATCTAATAATAACTGAATTCTAATGTTTGAGTTTATGATATGCCCGGCGTGGCATAGTACTGCGTGATGTTTAATGACATTGTCAGCATAACTACTTACATTATCTGAGTATTAAATACATTTAAATAAGCATTTGTCAGTGCTAAATATATATTTATAATAAGTAGATAACAGTAAGAATAAGTAATCCCAATAGTTCTCATTGTAATGATTAAACAAAAATTATATCCCGTCTTTAAATGAAATATACGAAATTCACAAGACAAAAAACACACTAGACCATAACCTACATGGACATTATAAACATCGGCAAACTTTTATTAGATGAATAAGTAAAATAATTTGCCAATGTTAAAAAAAGTTATAAACTAGGATTTGTCATAAAGATTCAGGATTCTGACAAAAGTTAACTTCTTTTTATTTTAAGCAAAGGAAAGAAAAAAAAATTATACAAGAATTTTTTATTGAAATTAAGGTGTAGAAAATAATACAATTAAAAATTTAAAAGGAATACATATATATTTAGCATATTTAATCAGTATACATATAATTAATATTGTAACTAGAAAATGACTATTAAGAAAAACTGATATGAGGGTAATAAGTTAGATTATATGATAGATAGAAAAACGAATAAAACGAACACTACCTAGAATAATAGTTTAAGATACTGTTCCATATTTAAAATAAAACTAGTAGCTTCTGTTGTTGTATTTCTATGGTAGTTTGGACTAATAAGAAGGTACCTGAAATACAAGAAGTATTTATCAAAACCAAAATAATATATATAATAAAAAGGTATCAATAAATCTTTCGTATTAAAGTCATCTGAAAATAAATTTTATATCGAATATTTAATATTTATGTATTGTATATTATTCTTTTATGTTTTATATTTAATTAAACTGTCTGTTGCCCGTGGTTTAGTGCACGTGAGGTCATGTTTCCCCTTTCAGTAGAAAATTTTCAAAAATCCTTTGTTAGCGGATGCTTATAAAACTATGTTTTATTGTTGTATATTTTAGTTTCCTTAACTTAATTGTTTTGACTATATATTGACAGTAAGTCAGAATTCATGATTTTATAAGTACAACGATTTTTTTTTATTTTATTGTATGTATGCTACGCAATATCTTTGTCAATCGTTGCCTGTTTTATTCGGTATCTGATTTACTTTTAGTTTGGGCCTATCTTAATATCTGAATTTTGTTACGATCAAAGTTGCTGTTTTTTTCTGAGCAAAATCTGTTTGCTTTTAAATAATAAATAATGTATATCACACTATTAAATACCATTAAGTATATCATTTTGTCCGTTTTTATTATCGAGAATACACATATGAAAATACGATTTTCTCATTTTTCTTTTTTCTTTCACGAAAAAATATCGAAATATCACAAATATTAAAAAATAGACAAATGTTCTAGTAGACCTTAAGTGATACGTTTACTAGCATTTAATTTTAATTCATACACATTTTAATATGCATTATAATTAAAGAACAAATAAAAAAAAAAATACTTTCTGAAAACCCAATGCGATAGTTTTCAGAGTTCATACCTCTCTACTATCCGGACTGAGTTTGCTTCCAGTACTACCCTAAGCCTAAATACTAGAGAGATGTGGGTTTGAATGTCAAAAGTAGGAGATGTTGAGAGGTACTTATATTTTTTCAACCTATTAATTTTTTTATAATACCTATAATGGTAAACAAGCTGACGATTCAGCCAATGGAAAGGAGTAACCGTGGCCTAGTAGACGTAAAGAGGACGTGGACGTCACAGAATACATTGTGTTACCTACGATACTCCTCTTGCATAGCCATTCTTAAGGATTATGATGTTGTGCCTTCATACTCTGTAATTTCACTGCAATATTTATTTATTTAAATTTTAATGCACAATCAAATTCTATGCACAGTTGGCGGACTAAACACAGGACGATGTTCTCTACCAGTCAACCATTGGGAAAACCGAGAAATAAGTAGGCGGTGTATTTTGAATTGATATATATTAACATATAATTATACTAATATAAACATACATAATAAGTTAAATAAATAAATTTATACATATAATAAATACATATGTACATAAAATATTACAGTATCAAATAATTAACTTTATTATAAAAGCAAATAAAATAATCTATGACTAAAAGAGAGTAACCAGCAAAGTTAAGGCTATTTCTTTCAAACCATAAAATAATTTAGTATTCCCAAATGCAGGGTTATGCTTTAAAATATGTTTTTGAAATGAATTATAATTATTG